TGGAGTTCGCGCGCGTCAAACCGCGCCGTCGTTAATTGCCGCACGCGCGACGTCGCCCAAGAGATGCTATTTGTAGCTGCATACATGACTAGTTCTCAATGTATGTGTAACGATATGGCACCAAATTTTGTATGCGAACGGAGAGAGGCTAGTGGACACAAAGTATGCAAAATTATGGAAAACTTATGTGAACGGAACGAGTAATAAGCATTTTTTCCGAAAATTTTGCAGAATTGGTAAATGAAGATATGAGTTCAAACGGCTCGTTTGGAACGCGCAGATGAACGATATAGTATGAAACTTGGTGAGTACATGCACATGGGCTTGCAGGGCTTAACTGAGGAGTTTCATTGAAAAATTATGTGACTGAAGGTTGTGGCAAACGTTTTTCTGAAAATTTTGCGCTACCAAAGAAATGGAAAAATGGCTCGTTTGCAACGCAGAGGTAACGAAATCGCGCGGGTTTCGGTGTGTATATGCGCAATAGGACTAAGTAATAAAGTATGAAATATTATGAAAAACTTATGTGAATGAAGAGTTTCCTTAACTTATTTCCAAATTAGGTCGGCATTTGCCGACCTAATTCCCACCTGAGGTCGGCAAAACTCTCAATTCACATAATTTTTTCAAAATCTTTACATAAATCTGTTGTACACCTAAAGTTTACTACATGGTGAAATTTTGGTTCCGAAACTCCTCCTCTTGTCCTTGTTAGAGCCCAAAATCGCATCAGCAGCCTAGCTTTCTAAGATAGAAAGCGCGCCCCAGTCAATCGATACGCGCGGGAACGGCGTCTCTCATTTCTATGACTGCGTTTCTTTGATATTTTCTCATTCCTTAATCATTTTTCTTGCTTATTTTTCTTCCTGTTTTCTATTTTGATACAGCTGAGGAGTAATTTGAGGAATTTGAGCAATTTGGGCGCTTTTGAGCGCTTTTAGGCGAAGTGTGGCCGCTAATCTCGTCGCACAAGCACAAAACGTCATTTTTGGGCTCAAGGGGGTATTCGTAAAATTTATTGGGATCAAAGGGGAATTCGTTTCGGAAAACCCCGTTTGCCCACCTCGTGCCGGGCCCTGAGTTATGTTTCCAGAAAAAACTGGCTATATTAGAAAAAAGTAGCCAGAAAAAAAAGTAGCTATGTTTCCAGAAATACCTTAGTACAAGTTCTGTAAGATTAGAATTTCACAAACTCTTTAGAGATTAAGTTGCGTGTATGTAAATTAAAGTAGGCAAACAAAAGTTGCTTGCGATAGCTAGTAGCTTTTGAACAAAGAAAATCAGAATTGATTCCTGGTATCGTTTAGAACCTCTTATTGCCATTCTGAGCAGGTTAACAATATATATTCTTGGAACTTACAAGGAAACGATCCCAACTTAAAGGCAGCGTCCAGGCAGATCTGGACCTATGGGGCTTTTACATGGAAAGTACTTTTGGGGCCCTAACTAAGGCACTGCCCAAGCGGCAGCTCAGGTAGTGCTCTAATGGCTGAGATATTCCCCTCGAAACTGGCCCCGCGAACGTATTCGCATGGATTCATGGCAGTTTCGCGCCAGGATCCACGCTTTGCGCCATGAATCCATGCGAAACACGGTCGCGGGGTCCAGTTTCGAGGGGAATATCTCAGCCATTACAGCACTACCTGAGCTGCCGCTTGGGCATTGCCTTAGTTGGGGCCCCAAAAGTACTTTCCACGTTAAAGCCCCATAGGTTCAGATCTGCCTGGACGCTGCCTTTAAGGTGGCGAATTGGAATAAACCGCACACCATTAGATGCGTCTTGATGAGCTGATTGCAAATTTACCTTCCATATCTGCGACAACACTATCTGGAAGAAGTTATGAAAGGTTAAAAACGTGAAGTAACGGGGGTTTTCGTGCTTAATTCGCTTCAAAATTCAACTTGGGAGTGTATGACTAGCATGATATTGAGTGTACTGATTTCAAGGAATGCTCACACCCTAAAGAAACACAAATAAATGTTTTTGAACAACTAATTTTCGAGGTATTGCGCTGTATATCTGCCAAATTTGGACTTTTCATTGCTCATAGCTTTTACCAAAGAACTTTAGTTGCTTTTTAGCTGTTCAAAAACATTTATTTGCATTTCTTTTGAATGTGAGCATTCCGTGAAATCAGTACACTCAATATGATGCTAGTCGTGCACTTCCAAGTTGGTTTAAAGCAAATTATGCATCAAAACCCCCTTTCACATTTTTAACCTTTCATAACTTTTTCCAGATAACGTTGTCGCAGATATGGAAGGTAGATTTGGAATCAGCTCATCAAGACGCATCTAATGGCATGCGGTTTATTCCAATTCGCCACCTTAAGTTGGGATCGTTCCCTTGTTAGAGGTGCAGCAAGGGTAACAAAACATTTTGGAGTGGTCTAAATGAGTGAGACTGCGTTGGTGTCTCATTAAAAATTTTTGAGTGATTTAGAAAATTTTTGATTTTCCATAAAACTCCCGTTACAAAAATTTGACAGAAAACTCAAGTCCAATTCACTCAAAAAAAAAAGTTCCGCGCAGCTTTCACCAAAAAAAAAACTAGGAATGCCTGCTATATGATGTTGATACTCTCTGACTAAAATTTCAAGATGTTGAAAAATGCGACAGAAAACAGAGCTAATTTTGTAGTGAATTCGATATCGTACGCGCTACCGTAACTAATCATCAGAAAGCTTATAGGCGGCTCCTCCTCTGGCAACGTCCATTTTTTGATCTAGAGGAAACTTGTCTATGTCTCTTGCAAGTTGTCGTTCGTTATATCTGCTATGTAATTGATGATTCTATTTCTAATTTTCTTTCTAAAATATTGCCATGGTTTTAGAAAAAACGCAGTTTCTTCATCCATAATCTAGCAAAATCAGGCTTTTGGTTTTACGGCTCCATTTTGCCATTTCCAGCGCTATGCGAGCCAGCCGTAGCTATGCAAAGGCCGCGTGCTAATAAAATTACTGACGTCCAAGGTAATCGAGGTAAAGCCTCGATGATATATGTGTGTCAACAGCGAGCACGATTACAAAGGGAGGACGTCGTTGTGGTTACATCAACTCGAAAATTCTGGAAGGGGGGACCCGTTTGATATTCGAGCATCCAAAATGATTGTCCTTTGAATTGACAGTGCAATCCAAAAGCTGTACCGCAGTTCGTATTGTCACGTTGTTGTTGGCCGCACGGAGTGACCGTAGATTACGTAGCACGCACAGCGCGGCTGAAAAGTCACAAGGGCACGACTTCTGCAGTAGTAATTTGTTCTCGTACAAGTGCTCGGCGCGCCGCGTTCTCCGCAATCTACGGTCAGTCCGTGCGATCAACGACTCGACGGTATATTTTGTGGCGACCAACATCGCATACACATTAGGTTGAACCGAAAGTTCGTTCGCACCATTTTCAAAAAAATTATAACTTTCCTCATACGATAATCTTATATGACAAAAATACTATTAGGAAGAGCAAAGCGTAAACTTTCTAATGACACCTTACTCGCTATTTACTAAGTTTTGGTGGCAGAGATAAAATTGGGAAAAGGAAATCACTTTAACTTCGGAATTTTGAGGCAAGCTCGTTGAAAAATTCAAACCTGTGCAATAAAATCCAAAACAGGCTGTATTCTAGACTATTTGATCCGCTACCGGTGCGAATCTCGCGCTGATTAAGCTGTTATTTAAAAAGTTATGATTTTTGTGAAAAAATGCCAGAAAATCAGTTTCTCAAGGAAATTAATTTTTTGGCATTTTTTTTCCGAAAATCATAACTTTTCTAAGGAGGGCTCGATTAGTGCAATTTCGCTCAACTAGAAAGAGGGGCCAAATAATCTAGCATACAGCCTGGTTTGGATTTTACGGCAGTTTTAGATTTTTTAGCGGGCTTTCTTCAAAATTCAGAAGTTAAAGTGATTTTCTTTTCCCATTTGTCTCTGCAACCAAAGCTTAGTAAAGAGCAGTCAAGTTGTCTTTAGAAAGTAAACGCTTAGCTCTTCCTAATGTTATTTTTGTCGTGCAAGATTATCGTAAGAGGAAGAAATTACGATTTTTTGAATATGGTGCGAACAAACTTTCGGTTCAACCTAATATTTTCATTTTTTTCATATTTAATTCTATCATTACTAGGGAAAAAAGATGTCGCACTCTCAAAGTTTTTTACGTAGAAATCTGTAAAAAAATTTCGAATCTTCGAATCTTGTTTAGTAATTTTTACTCTTTACCTGAGTTATTCGAAGTTCCATCAATGGAAGAAATAAGCTTACAAGCGCATTCAAAAAAAAAATTCTTGGAAGTCAAGCGTTACGCACTCGCAGAAAACTTACTGAAGTTTAAATAGAAAAAGTGAAGGAAACCAGATCGATCATTTTTTCTGCAAATCAGCATGAATTTGTTGTTGAGCCAAAAAAGATGAAAATGCTGTAAATGTCACCCTCTTCGCCCAAAAATTCAAGAATATTTCCATTTCAGTGATATCCATTTCTCAACTGAAGCTTTTGCATCGCCATTGTTCGCAAACGATCAAAGGAAAAAAATTTCAACGATCATCCAACAAGTGGAAAATTATGGATACAGATGTGGATAATAATTCAAGCACCCATTACTTCTTTATGTCTCTAAAGGATGTTCACGGATGACCACGTCATGGTTTGCGTTGCGTGTGCACATGTTGTCTCCGTATCTCCGCGCACGTGATCTCTCAAGTGCCGGTATGCAATCGCTACGCATGCACATTTTCTGCGTTCACGAATCAACTGTGAACGACCACCAAACATTCAAGCTGTTATCGAACAACACCGCAAAGATGCGCAAGGATCTTGGTAGAATGACTTACATGTTATCTTCAGATACAAAGTCAGTCAACAGCACTATATATTAGTCATAGGCCTAGGGGCCGCTGCCAGGTGCAGAAATTGATTCGTTAATCGGATGCAAGTTGTCAACTATTCCAACTATTTTCAAAATCTGAAAAAACATGCAAAGATCAAAACACATGCGCATGCAATGCACCTAGTTTCTGAGCAGACGTTCAGGATTTGTTAACCTGTAGCCTATCTTTGAAAAATCCATAAATATTTATCAAGACCAACCAACCATAGGGAACCATATGAACTTCAACAAAGATCGGGAATCAACTCAGACTTCACCAACAACAAAAGCAGTTCTTCCACAATTAACAATAGTAATGATTATTCTTAGCATCAAAGCCATTCAGACAGTGCCGCTAAATCCAGCTATTCACTCTTCGCTTCAAACTTTGGATATTTCTGTTGTGCCTCGGTCCACTGCATCTTCTCAGTGACTAGCGCAGAAACCACGGCTCCTAGCTCATCCAGCTGCAAGTTTAAAAGAAATCACTTCACAATACTAATAGCAAAATAAAAACTCACATTTAATCGGATTTGTTCCATACTTTCAGCATGTCTCAAAGTTACTGTCCATGGTAATTTCTCAGACTCAAAATCTACTGTCACTCCAAATGGAATGCCAATTTCATCAGTTCTAGCATATCGTCGACCAATCGATCCCGCACTATCGTCCTTAATGAAATCAATTTTTTATAGTGCACAATAATAAACTTTTTATAGGTTTGCGTTCGTATTTCTTATATGTACTGGGTCAATCCAATCACGCAACTATGGCAACTTACTGCATACGCGACAATCGCATTTATACGGGATCATTAAGGTTCTGGATAGCGCCATTATAGGCGCGCAAATCTAATTTAAGTGATAACATGTCGCCATAGTTTCACCTCGAAGTCGACCAAGGACTGGAGGGAGACATTAAGAAAACGAAAAATCATAAAAATAGCACAAGAATAAAAAGAATAATTCTAACGTTGATCTTTGACTACAAAGATTCTGCAATGATATAAACTACGCAGCAACTGTAGCGATAAAAATTTATTAAAGCGAACAAGGGAAAAGATAAGAAATAAAAACCAACCACACGGTAGGTGAGATCATAACGAGCCAGCTCTTCTCGTGCTGCTTCGATAATCGGATTAAGTCTTTCATTCGCTGAGATGGGGAGAATGGAGCACTTGATCGGGGCTACCAACGGTCGGAGTGCAAGGAACTAAAAACGATTGTTTACAAAATTAAAAATTTGGGAACTTTTCTTCTCATGCAAACACAAAAAGCAAAATGGCGAACTAGCAAAAAGCAAATAAAAAAATAGATAAAAGTTGTATAGAAAAAAGCCAATCCAAAACATTTCGTTACCGTTCTTTGCTCATCTCCTTCTCGTTGCCTAAATGCATGTTCCAAAACTGAATACATTACTCGCCCTATACCAAACGAAGGTTCAATTACAGAAGGTGTGATCTCCTCGACATGGACCTTGAAAAGCAAGTATATCATATTTTTTCATTGATGATAGCTTTACCATTTTCGTAGTTCTCTTCACAGTTAACATAGCTGCAGTCAATTTGAATTCATCAGCGTCAACTTTCAGCTTGTATGAGCTAGAATACGCATGCTTGACTACTACTGTCGATGGACACGGCTAAAAAACGAGGAATAACTTACCCACTGGCCTTCAGCTCTTTCTCCAAAGCTTCTACTTGATCCTCGGGCAGTTGTGCAAGAGCTACTTGTATCTGTAGAATCTTTTCATGTAGTGCAAGTGATTTTCAAAACTGTTTATCCCAAAAAAGAAGAAAGAACCAATGGCTCACCCTCTTGGCATCCTTCTTGAATTCTTTACCTAATACGGCCATATTGGGCGCCGCCTCCACAACATTTACAGACTTTGGTTCAGGCAACTTCTTCTCAGCGGTAAGCTGCAACATTTCAGTTGGTATAGAAGCGCATAACCATGAGAAGAAGGAAAAGAAAACCAGAAAAAAGGGAATGCTGACGGCCACTGTTCAACAAGCATTACCTTCACATTGGTGGTTTTGGAATGTTGCGTAAGATCATAGCAGGAACGGTCAGCATTACCAACGCATTCAATCCAACCGTAGCTAGTCAAAATCTCTGCATCCCAGCAATCCTTGAATTTGGCAAATCGAGTGGGGAAGGTGGACGAATCGGACAGCGAACCTGCGCATAGTGAGCCATCTCATTTCCTAGATGCTGTCTGAATCGTAGTCTTCTTGGATCCACTCCAACTTTCACAAGGTACATGTGAGTACGAGCCATGTAGTAGCCCAGCGTCTCGTTGGCCACGATACCCTAAAGCATATTTTTTCGCGAAGATAATGAAGTGCCAAAAGCTAATTAACGCATCAAAAGCAGATAGCATTACGGTTTTGTAAGATAATTTGTGATGCAAACCTTTCCGACGGCTTCTCCAATCGTCATTGTCTCGGCTGGTTGCCCATCCATCTGATTGCAGGCAGAGAACAACAGCATGGGATACGTGTGGACCTCAAATAACAAAAAAATTTCCAAGCTAAATTGGATTTGCGGCAAAACCGGACTGAGAAGTTTCAGTGAGATAAATGGAAAAATCACAAAAAAAACGTACACCATCATGCTGGCTTTCTTGCCTATACAAAATTAGTCGCTGCATGAAACATAGAGGAAGCAACAAGGAAATCGAATGTATAATTCTTCAAAATAAAAACAGCAATCATAAACTAGCTATAGCTTACCCTTTTGAATTTTGCAAAGCTCTTATCACCGGGATCAACGAAATGCTCGATTTCGCACATAGTGAACTCTCTCACACGAATCAGACCTTGTCTCGGAGAGATCTCGTTACGGAAACCTAGGCCGATTTGAGCGGCAGCAAACGGCAATTTCCCCTGAAAAAGATGATTTTGCAAGTTTACGGCCGTAGCAACAAAAAAGGATATAGTTGAGAAAAAGTGCAATAAAGAAAAATTGCACCGACTTGGTTGAATTCCAGCAATCTTTTGAAATTGACAAAGATTCCTTGAGCTGTTTCAGGTCGTAAATATGCCTAAAATCATGCCTAAACATTAGCATCTATAGCGACATTTGGAATAGTTCCACCTTGAAGTCCCCAGTAGGGCCAATTTGAGTAGGGAACATTAGGTTGAATGCAATTGGTGGGGTGAGATCATTTCCAGTGGTCGGCGACTTCAGATTAAACTTTGTGATCACCTAGAAATTATGGTAGTCGGATATATTCAAAACCTTGAACATTCATGGATTTACCTCATGCATATCTTTGTCATCAAATCCCTCTAGACGTGCCAAAACATCTTGAAGAGCATCTTTCGTGGCCTCATCGGTTTTCTTGTCCTGAATACGGCTATGATATCGAATGACTCATAAACTAGAGAAAAAGAGCTGAGCAAAAACACAGAGTTTTTGCAAACGGTTTGATCAGCGGTTAAATTGACTTAATTAGTAAACTAGGTTGCTCCAGAAACTGGCAGGAAAAGAACCCACATGCAAAAGCTTCTCAGCTGCGTTTTTGATCAAGTGATCGGCGCGGAAACATTCACCACTCTTCAAGTCTTTGACCATCCAGTCAGCAAATCGATCAACGTGGCCAGAAGCTCTAAATTTAGTTTAAGAGGTTTCCAAAGTCCAAAGAGAGGAGTAGCAAAGTAAGAAAACTTCGACGTAAACAACGATCTGGGAAGACTACTTGTTGAGGTTACTATTATGTAACTTTTTGGAAAGTTCATTCAAAAGATCGCATCCATTACCGGAGAAAAGAAAAAATATCGTTTTGTTCAGAGCCAAGTGAGAACCTCCAATAAATATAGTTGTGATTTTTGCAAAACCAGTGTTAAACAAAAAGATAAATCAAAACCAAAAAATGATTTTTAGAAAATAACAACAAAAAGCAACGGTCAGAACACCCACTTCAATACGGCCTCAGGTGTAAGCGATGTACAATCTACTTCAAGCATCCCTTCCTCCAGAATGAAATGCTTTCTCCATTCCTGGATCATGTTGGCTTTCAATGCACATCCCATAGGTCCGAAATCGTACCTGAAATTCGGAGTAGTAAAGAGGACAGAAGTGTCAGTCATTATTAACTTACAGTCCCGTAACTCCTCCATAGATAGAAAACGACTGATCATAGAAGAAACGTCGTTTCAAGAGATCTTCTAGTTTCAAACGGTCGAAAGAGGCTTCTTTCGGTGCAAGAGCAACTTCCTAAACAATTTTGCTGCTTTGCTTATAAGTTAAAATCAGAAAAAATAAGGTAAGAATGCAGAAATTTGAAGAAACGAAAATTGACTAACAACTAAATAAACAGAGCTCACTTACAGTCTCTTCCAGCTTCTTCTTTCTCGCTTTCAGCTCAACGACCGCTTTGTCAACATCGATTTTTGGTGCACCATTTGCCTAAAAACAGAAAAGTTGAACTCCGCAGAATGCTTGAAAAACACAATTTTTTAAGGTTTACATGAAAAGCATACCTTTAATTCTCGAACGAGATCGCCATACTCTTTCACAGCAATTCGTAAAGGTGCAAGTTGCTATAAAGAAATTGCTATGAGAAAAAATGCTTGTCTACAGAAAACTGATAAAAAAGTTGCAACAAAATTGAAAAGCATAACTCACCGCTTCAATCTCTGGTGTAGCCATATTCTTGAGATATTCGGACAACTTCAGTTTTGATTTTTTCGTAAACCTTTCAACAATAGGTTTCTTTCTTCCAACGTTTTTGTTGACCGCAGTGCTGGCCTAAACAAGGCTTGCTAAAGTAGCTACAGCCTACAACACGAACTGCACTTTCTAAATGATAAGAGAAGCATCTGCAAGGAAGGTCCAGGGCAAGAAAAGAATGCAAGAATGTTCAAAACCAAAAATAACTCTGCGATGTCGTCAATCGTGTCGATGAAGCAGTGACGAAATTTCACAGACTCCAGTTTGGCGTTGCATCATTCTGATGTAAATGAACAAAGAAAGGCAGTCGTTTAGTGAAAATCTAGGAGCAGCTACACCAGATCATTTTACACCCGTCTTCCATCATATGAAGACTTTATGATGAGAAATTGTGAACCAAAACTTCCACGTCAGCGCGAAGTCCACAAAATGTCCGCAAAGTCAGAATTATTTTTTATAGCAAAAGCCCTTTACTGACTGCAAACAAGTTTTTCGTGAGTATTTAGGGTATACAGATCATAACACGCAAAGACTAAGCGCGGTTGCGTCTGGCCGAAATAGTTCCCGCTTGAGAGAGACAGCAGATGGCAAGCGAGACGATAGAGCTCTCACTAGAGAGACGCAGATATGTCCGCAATCTTTGCGTGCTATGAATCGCCTATATATGGATATATGTACATATATGAAACCATCAGCTCTACTAGCAAGTGAGTAAACTTATCGGGAAATTCATACACTTAATTTTCTCAAATTCCTACGCAAAAATTTAAGCGCTTTATTAGGAAACCGTATAAAACATGAAAACCACCGATTGTGCAGATAAGAGTCGTAAGCGGTATAGAACTGGAACTTGACCCGGCGATTGTGACATTCTGTACGGAGAAAAATCGAAATTGAAACGGTGCGGACAACTTTCGATTTCTAGTCATATACAGTATTTCCCACTTGTTTCACTTTACGCTTATACATCTTTCCTCAATGAGTGCCTCGGAAATTAATGATATTCTCTACAATAACTTTTCTTCTCATGACCAAACCAACATTCTCTACTATTGTTAGCACCGAATATTCGTGTTCGAATAATTTATTCGAAATATTCGAATATTCGAATATTCGAATAGTCGAATATTTGAGAAAGTCCATTTATTCCATTATTCGAATAGCCGAATAAATGAGAAAGGCTTATATTCAAATAATTCGTTCATTCGACGATTCCAAAAAATGACTTATTCGAATATTCGTTCATTCGACGAGTTTTAAATAAAGGTTATTCGAATATTCATTCATTCGAGTAGTTTTAAAAGATAGTTATTCGAATATTCGAATACTGCCTTCAAATATTCGAATAATATTCGAACATGTATTAGAAATTAGTCGAATATTCGATGAAGTTCGGGAATTCAAATATTCGTTCATTCAAATCTTGGAATGTGCCAATATTCGAATAATTAAAGTCGAATAAAATAAAAATCGAAAGTCGAATAATATTCGTTCATTCGAAGAATTTTCGAAAATCAAATATTCGATATTCATTCATTCGAAAAAATTTCAAAAATTGATTATTCGATATTCGTTCATTCGACGAAAATTTTTGTGCGTTACAACTATACTGTTTACGTACGAGATAGTGACATGTCAGCAACCTGTTCAACATGTTCAGCAAGTCTCTGCCGCATTCAAGTGTGGTCTACGAGCACTTCAAAAGATCTGCTGATTGCGCCCATTACCCGTGTGTTGTGCCGATGCCGGTAAAACTCGCGATTCCTTCTTCTTTTGCTCTTTTACGCTGGTAAATGCTTCTTTTTATGGTTTCAGCGGGATTGTATGTCCAATAAGTCATGCTTTTATAAGCCTTTGATTACCTTGTCCTTCCGGCCTATATTTCCTACATTCCACTTTCAAATAAAAGGTTGGTCATCAAGTGCAGAGACGCGTAGCAGCTAGTTCACTTTTTACAGCCTGTTGTCTATTTTTAACACGCGCTTACTCAACTCTACGATTTCCAATCTTGTAGAGCTAATTATGACCGTGTAACGGGTAAGGGACTATCTATCGCGATAGGCACGCGCCATACTTGATCCGCTTGATCCGCTTCATCATTGGTCAATACAGTGAACTGACCAGTAGTGAAGTGGATGAAGTGGATCAAGCGGATCAAGAAGATCAAGTATGGCGGGTGCCAAAGGCTCCAATCAGCGCGGAAATGTTGATCTGTAATGTATGTAATGTGTGGAATTGCGTGCTTTATCGCAGATGTCCGCTTGCGACCACCTTCTCTCGGCGACATTGACACCCGCTATACTCCATCCTTTTGAAACGCTTCGTGCGGAACGCGCGCACACAGCAGTTTGTCATGTGGCGCCGCGTGGGTAAAAAGGAATTTTGTATGGTTACGCAAATTCGCTGTACGCGACGCCGAATAACAAATTAGACCCGCGTTTTGTACGAAATGGATCAAGCGGATTAAGAGGATCAAGTATGGCAGGTGCCATTGTAAACTGTTCCTGCATTGCCGGCAACATTTACGCGTAAAAAGCGGCCAAGCAATTTTTCATGCGCGACGTCGTTGGCATCTAGTGACTTTTCACATAGGAGCGAGCGTGGCAGCTCAAAGCATGGCGGGCTTTGATAGTAAAAGAGTTCAGCAATTTCAAGGCATTGTCAAAGTCTTTTGGCTTTCGCATTCTAAGCAAGGGACCCTAAGGCCTCGGATAAATTTGAAGCGATTTCATCGTCGCGTTCATCGGACAAGACAAGTGTTACGAGCTCATTGCATGCCAATCTTCTTGTATTTCGGTTGCGATAGTTAGTCACGAATAGCCGTGTTCGAAAACTATCACTACCGAAATGCAAGGAGATCGGCAAGCAAGATATTGTTACAGTTGTCTTGTCGCGATAAATCGCGACGATGAAACGCGTGAACTCTGCCCGAGGGGTGTAGGCCCTTCTGAACCCGCTCTAATCGCGATGATAGTGATAGGTCAGCCCGCCGCAAAGGTTACGCTGTGATTGGCTGCCGCGCCAAAGTGAGCAGTTGACCTGTCCAGTCGCGTCGCAGTTTCGGACGAGTTTCGTCGTCAGCGTACCGCGTGCACTTACACTCATACACCCACGAAAGACGCCACAAGAAGACCGCGGCGTACACTAAGAGCAGACAAACTTCAGAAAAGTTTCGTTAACCACGAAAATTTCCGATAAATGGTAGCTGGCAGCTAGCATTTGGATTAATCTGCTATTCCAGTGATTGTATGAGGATTTGGAAATCATTGACAAAATGACTATGTTTTCAACATCCGCGAACCCTCTTTTTTGCAAATCCTGCCGTTTTCCCATTTTACAACTCGAAAACTCACATGCTGTTCTGTCTACACCTACTCGTAAACTGCAAGAACTGAATACTCTGCTATAATGTAGGAATGCCAGTTTAACTAAAAGAATGGCGAGAAAGAGTGCTTTCGACCCCACCGAGATCATGTTAGGAAGCTCATTGAGATACAGACCCTGCGTCTGTGCAAACTCGCAGATTCCAGACGAAAAACCCTGCAATTTTTGTCTTACTGCATAATAACAATGACTATCAAACGCATTCTCCAAAACGAGACTGTCTAGCACTCTAAACAGGGTTCATGGTTTCAAAAATTCATGACAACCTGTGTAAAGGCCTAGATCTTCATATGTTGACAAGAACTTTATAACAGACAGTTCTTTGACAGTCTGACTGTTTCTGATCAGCTGAGCACTTTAGCAAAAGAACGGGTCTGCAGTCTAAGGCCCCGGTCAGACTTCACGCGACTTTATCCGTCTAAGGGTAGGAACGAAACGGATAACTCCTTTTTTCATGTTTTTTTGTTTTTCACTAATTTAATTTTGTAACAATTTTTAATCCTTATCTTGTTCTATTGTTTCTATTAATCGTCGCGACCTAATCGCCAAGATTTCCATTCATTTTCATTTCACATTCAAACATTTCGGTCTGGAAAAGTATCACAACCGAATGCAAGTTGATCGGCATGGAATGATGTTGTAAAAGTTGCCTCGTCGCGACTTAGTCGCGACGATCAAATCGCGTGAAGTCTGCCCGGGGCCTAATGCACAAGGGAGAGAACTTCATTTCATGATCCGCGTCAAACGCAGCGCGAGCGCTCGCGCCCCAGCTATTGAATTACTGTAGCGCACTGTGGGTTCAGAAGGGCCGTCTCCCTGCCCGAGCCCTAAAGCATCCGTCAAGCAGCAGTGCATATGATACATCCACGGCCGAGATCCAAAGCTGTCCCCAATGCCGCATTCAGCGGATGACTTGCATCGGCTTGCATGCTTTCAAGCAACCCATTACGAGGCTGGTGCTGAAAGCAAGCTGATGCGTCCGCTAAATACGATACTTCGGCAGTGGAGACAAATTTACGGTCGTGGATGAGTCATTTGCGCTACCGTTGACAGTGCCTTACTTACAAGGGAATGGTCAGAAATCAAAGTGGCCAATCCAGAAAAGCTGCATACCATTAGATGCAGCATGAAGCGGTGACTCTAAATCTGTCTTCCTTACTTGCTTATCGCTTTTCTGGACGGAGCTATAAGTCATTAAAGGTCATTATTTGGCTAAGAAATTATGCGTGAAATTGAAAATTTAGCCGTACAGAGCCGCGTTCGCTTTAATGCTGGGCCAAAACATGCAGCTAGCTTACTTCAATTTTTCAAAGCTAGAAGCTGAGCTAAAAGTGCAACAATGTGCTCAATTTCGCTGTTTTTAGGTATGATTTTTTCACAATAAAACCGTTTGTAGCTTCGTCCACAGAAGCGATAAGCAGATAATGAAGACAGATTCGAAGTCAGCGTTTTATACTGCATCGAATGATATACAGCTTGTTTGGTTTGGCCACTTCGACTTCTGACCATTCCCTTGTTAGCCCCATGATCACTTTTTACGTGTAAGTAGACTATACGGCTTTAAGGAACAGCACTCGCTATGAATTTGCAATCTAGGCTAACTCTAGCTCTCACCTTGAAAAACTCCTGTGCTAATGTGGCTTTTTGTACAGTATGAGCTCCTACAACTACTCTTCTCAGCACATTACAGCCAACCTTGAGCATACACCAGACAGTCAAGCTTGTAAGCTAAAACAGCATGATGGAGAAAATTGTGAAGTGGTAAGGCTATATCTGCCTATGGTTTTACTACGACCAAAGAGTATGTTTGTATATGGTCAGTAGTTTCTGAGGGTCTAACTCAAGATCAGATTGAGATGATGGTGGAAACAGTTTATTCAAAACATCGAGAATGTGTTTCCACTTCTGGAACGAACATGCCAGTACCTTGATAATTAAGGCAGGTAGGTCGACCAGTGATTACAAATCCTGACATACGAGACAATAAAACAACACTAGTCTAGACACTTCTATGAAGTACCAACCGTGCTACGCATACCTAATGATACAATATGATAAAATCTGATAAGACAAAAATATCTTCAAAAATAAAATAAAACGAGTGTTAAAAAGAAGCGTACAACAGTGAAAGTAAAACAACACAAGTTGTGCGCAGATGATCGTAACCTGGGAAGGTTGATGATACGAGGATTCATTCAATTGAGCAGGTTGTAGATAAAGAAATGGTAAAGCGTTTCCTGCATGTGCGATTACTGCACAACTTGGAATAAAAAAAACCTGACATTATGCGCATAATCGAAACTAAATGAGTAATTCACCAGGATTGTATTATATGTCATCGGGTTAGAAGAGATGATTAGAAGGAAAGTAACACCGGGAGGGTGTAGAAAATCGGAGAGGATTAGTACAATTTTATGACAATTTCTAAGGCGCTTCAAAAATAGAAAGACTGCAACTTCTTAGAGTTACCAGTTTTCCCTGGTATGTCAAGCTATCCCAATAATTTAGTTAGTCACTCCTAGAGTCACTTCAAAGATAAGCGTGCATGAATTTTTTCGTATTTTCGAATGTTACGAAAAGACATCCTGATGCTAGACAAGTACGGATCAAAGTCGGCAATAGACCTTTGTACAACGCCATGATGCCTAAAGCGAATAGAACTGACAAGTATCGAAGAAAACGAAAGATAATCCACTGAACAAAACGCACCTTCTGTTTTTATCACCTTCACCATAAGCGATACGAAGTTTCCACCGCCTGCTACCTAAAAAGTCTGAGATTATCGACCATCATGAAAGTAATATCGACAAAAGGTGAATTCCACAGTTACACAGATCTGAGTGATTCTGCAATTGAGACGATGTTGAGCTGATTTTCCACCTCCGTAAGTGGCTTGTTCAGCTGGTTAAGACATTTAACACAAGAAATACAAGATTGAGAACACTTTGCACAGTGTACAAATTCAAGGCCGCGATACAGAATAACTCGATTACTTTCCTGCTAAAACAATAGGGGATCCGATATACAATTGAGTAGGTTTCCCGCTCAATTTAGTGCTTGCGATGCCGAGATGGGTAAAATTTGCGCGTGAACAAATAGCCACGCCAATAATGCCGGAGTTTTGCGCGCGCAAGTGGCCGGTATTTCAGGCGTAGGTTTTTGTTCACGCGCAAATTCCATCGCATTTTCTCGGCACCGCAAGCACACCACATTGAGCGAACAATCTACTTGACTGTGAGCATGCACTTTACAGCAAATGATTCTCGTTCATAGAACAGGAATCTGTAGGCATGCATTTTCTGCGAACTCCTCACCGACGCTGTATTTCCGCTTGGTTTCATTTTCTTAGCTACTTCATCGGGAAAACCAGCTCTGTTGAAAATCTATAAATGCTACTGATAAGCTACTTTCCGATAAGTTTGTTACTCTCAAAAACTGACTGTAGTGACAAAAAAGTTGAGATGCTAATTGAAATGCTCAAAAAGTATTGAGAAAAAGGAAACGATGTTATAGTGGTTTCCTATTAAGAAAAAGCAAATAATGTTATAGTGGATTCCAAGTCCATACTACAACTCATAAGCGTGCGGCCGATCTGCCACGCTGGTTGTAATGTAAAAATTAAAACTTAATAACATCATGAAAAAGAAAAAGGGAAAAATAAGCATACCTGCATTCGCGACTTAATCGAATCGAATGGAAATACCGCTGCCCATAGCGTCATACCACCGATGGCACCGGACGCAGCTGTTTTCATCAGGCCTAACCAGCAATTGCGTTCGGATTGGAAAGAAAAAAAATTCACTGTTCTCACCTATGTCATCCTTATGCTGACCTTCCTTGGCTAGCATGTAACGTGAAGCTTCGTAAGCGCCAAAGAAACAGAAGTAACCCGGCATCTGGGGAGATTTGGATATTTTGATATGCAATCAAAAATTCACAGAGATAGAGTCCAAGGAGATTCTTCATATCCAAGTAAATGATACCGAAAACAATGTGATGGGATTTTACCTCTCTTGCCAGCGTTGGCGACATCCCAATGAAGAAACCTCGTACTCCTTTCTCCCGCATCATGTCTCTGCACACAGAAAATGGAGTGCTATAATACCAATCGACATTCAATAATAAGGTAATAGTCACGATCATCTCTCCATACCCCCTCCCCCCTCCCCTAAACACCTTGGGGGTGATGCTTGTTCATTCCCTCTAGAATAACTTCTGTTACCGCCACTGGTATAGGCGACTCATCATACGTAGAGAATACACGCGCTGCGACTTAGTTCGTGTTTGGGAGAGACAACAGAGGGCTAGAGGAAGAACGAGAGCGTGTTTGTTTGAGAGGTGCCGACAGCGTCCGCGGTAGCGGCCTATCTCTGCGTGCGTTGAATCGACTATAAGTGGTACGGAGGTGGCAAAAGCAGGCTGATTTTGCAACAATCTCTATTCACATGTAAATTACAATACTAACCATGCGTGTCCTACTTCACGAGCAGCTTGTAGCCGGCATTTTACTAATTCCGTAGGGCACAATACTAATGCAGCAAACACGGAAGCTAATCCACCGGCAGATGCATTCTCCAGCGGTGTCATCGTTTTAACGTCATTATGACCAGATATTATGCTGACTATCTGAAAATCGGTGGTTATAGAACACTGATCACAAGATTAATCAATTTTACCAGATCTCACTTTTTGACAGTAGCCATAAGCTGTAAACAAAACTGCATTTTCAGCTATATTTGCAGCCAGTGCAGGAACCGTTCCTGCGTAGAGACCTCGAATCCCGTCTAATCGATATGTATCTTTTAAACATACCACCCAATTCTTGTAGAGACTCGGAAATGTTTGTACTTTTACTTTGACGGTATCCAATGGTTGGCCAGCGTATACATTCGCTATTCCACCTAAAAAAATATTCAAGCATGTATCGGGCTTTAGTCGATTCAATTGTAACTTAATATGCGTATTGCACAACATGCGTGCTACTTCAGGATTCTCCTCGTTTCGTTGTTTTTTTTTATTAGGTACATATCAGCCAGTTGATAGTACTAATTTCTACTCGGTCCGCTAGAAAAAGTTTTATTGAGGAGTTCACTGGTAAGGAGTCAATTGGGCGTGTAGTGTGCAAGCTAGCAGGCTCACACATCAAGTTACAAACTCGACATTACACTTCTTGAATTAACCATAACCCCCCCCCCCCCCCTCCCCCAACTCCTCTCCTTCCTCCCCTCATAAAGATTGCGTTTATAGTTGTCGGGAGCCAAATCAGTCCTGGCACCTTGTGCCGTGGCGCTGGCACTGGCAACCACTTTGAAATCGCAGCCGCCGCCGCAGCGCCCAATGCCCGCCCTATAAACGTAGATAAACGTAGTCAAAGTAGACTACAGTTGCGTCTCGCTCATCGAAAGCTTGTTGATAAAGACTCTCGATAGGAAAAAAGTAGACAGATACTGCTGCAAGAAGTACAAATGATGTCTTCGTACACCGAAAGAATGATAATCGACGTCAACTGTTTTTGTGTGAATGCAAGACGTGCACAAAGCAAAAATGTATAGCTGCCTGGCATAACTTGTCATGTTTCGCAACTTTTCTCCAACTGCATATTCTTCCGTGAATTAGCTCTCAAATATATACCGGGGTTCAACTAACTACAAAAAGGACTTTTATTCTTATTCGGTATCGCTGATGGCGGCGATCCCAGCATAGCGCACGCTTATCGCACTCGCCATCAAACTATGTCCCCCGCACTACCAGAAGATCTAACAACGATAAATAACTAAGAAAAAAAAACTCCTCAACACATTCCCAACCACAATCACACTCCAAAAAAAAATCAAAAAAAGGATGCAAATTCAACTTACCAAAGGTACCGGCCGTGAGATCAATGAAACCATCCTTGAGTTGGTTAGTAAGCTTAACACCGTCTGTGGTGGCAGTTCCGTGCATTCTTTCGCTACTATGTACTTCGGCTACGACTGTTGCACAATACTGAATTCGTGGACGATAGAAACTAATCCTCAGGAAACAAGTGAGCATGATACCGACCGCACACAACGAACAAAACGTCTATCAACGATTTTATATATCTCATCAAGTTGAAAAACAGTACAATAGAATCAAGCAATGAAATCTACTAGACAAAATATCTTTGTAGATTGTACGTACAAGAGAAACTCACAAGAGCAACACAGTAAACAATTATACATAGTATGTAGCAGACGCTCAATCATAAACATTGAAGGCAAGTTTGAGGAATTCTACGGAATACCTAGTTTGGGAAGAAAAAAAGAGAAGATAGTAGATTGGGAGTGTTACCTACCAAGCTCATAACGTTTTAGTTGTGAGATAAGGCCATATCAGACCACGAAGAAGTCAAAAATCAACCGTTTTGTTCAAAGTTGAGATCAGCCCCGTTTGATATGTTCGACTATCCTCGACAGCTATGATCCTACATTTTGTTGAAAGATGTATGACCCATTCTAAGCCGAGCTCAAGGCGAGCAATCATGAGCAATCTGTTCAGAAAAGTTCACATGGAATGTGATCCTTATCGATCAGACCAATCATGTTTCTTAGCCAAGAGCTGTCTTCAACTTGAAGTGAGAAAATACAAGGGAGATTTTAGTTTTGAACTTTGAGCGTCAAAAATATATCAATGTTCTCAACAACAGATTCGCGAGTTATTAGAGATCTTGTTTAACGGATCAAATTCAAGCAATTTATGATTTCTTAATTTGTGAAAATTGCAACAACCTGTTGAAACCGGAGATACCGAGTTTTTCTTGTGGTGGGATGTGAATGAATTTCCAAATTGTTCTCAAAGCTAACTACAAAAGGAAAGGACGGGAGAGGGGCCAGAAACCCGAAGGAGAACATATAACAAAATCGAACTGCTCTTACGTACACACACAAAGAGAAGAACCATGCTATCGCTAAGCATGGAGAGAAAAGATCACAATCTCCGCCCGCTGTGGATGCGGCACTTTATGGTTACAGAAAACTCAAAACGTCGGTAAATAATAAATAACACGCTGTGCTAAAGGGGCCAGTGTAAACGATTTACAAAGGAGTGAAGGAAATTTTAAAAAGGAAAAAAGGATAATGAATATTATATAAAAGGAAATTCTCATTTGAACAAAATATTGCTGTACGCTAACCTAGTGATATGGCAAAGCAGTAACGCTCAAAATTTATTGGAAGTGATCAACTGTACGATTTACTTGAAGGTCTGTGTTACTAGGGCATCTAGACAGATAAAAATCATTTTAGGCGTCGACGACTTTGATTTTTTGATGTAGCCTATAAGCACGCGCCATACTCGATCCGCTTGATCCACGTCATCCACTTCACTATTGGTTAAGTCGTTAAATTGACCAACAATAAAGCGGATGTCCACCGATTCGCTTCATGCACTTGTTCCCATCCACTTCGCTATTGGTCAAACCGGCAAACTGACCAATAACTAAGTGGATCAAGTGGAACAACCGGATCAAGTATGACGCGTGCCATAACTGTAGGGATCTATCTAAATCTTTTTATGTAGATCTACAACGGTAAAAAAAATATGGCAGTTTTTCAGGGCCTCGGGAGAAAATCTACTCCCCCATATAAGACCTACATCACAGGAACTTAAAAATCACTAGGTCTTATTTCACCCCTGACATTAAGCTCACCTAAACCTGAACAAATGAAAGAAAACTGATACCCGTGTCGTAGGGGGGCTGAAGGCTAGCACGTTCTCCATTACGATAAATATTCGAGATTGAAAAAAAAGCAAGATCGGCAGAGCCGCGAGATCGACAAACAGCAAAGTGAGACGCGGCGGCGAGCGCTCATCGTGTGGACCCAAAGTACATCGACCAGTTGATCATGATAGATTTCCAATTTTGCAGCCAGCACTCTCTCTAGGGCAGCGGGACACAATATATGTTAAAAAATTCAAGCGCCTTGTTACAATAAAATGCATAGTACATAGCCATTGTCGGCTTAGTATTTTCACACAGAGACAAGAAACAAGGAAGAGAATTCTTTGCCAATTTGAATAAGCGCAAAGAAGACATATGACCATCAGAAAGGTCAAATGTACACGGCACCTAAAGGGCATGCAGTTCAGCCGAAGACCCGAGCACTTTCGGCGATAAGAACGCCATAATCGCCCTCGAGCTGCCGATAAGTTCCAAATTTACATCCTCCGAAGTAAGGAAGTAACGACTAGGACACCAGATTCATACTAACTCCGATCATTATAACAATTTCTTCGTGACCAGCTCGTATAGCATCCGTTGTCGATAGTAAGGCATATGTTCTTGTGTGAATACGATTTCTGCTCTTCTCGAGGCAAATTCGGCAAATTTGCACGCAAATACACCACAATCGCTACCGTTCAGTTGACGTGGTATATCCTAAAGATATGGTTTTTTAAGATTCCTAGCGATATAACATCTTAAGCTTTTGCAAGAAAAACTTAGCCGGCACTTGAGTACCGCATATGAAAAATGTGAGTGTTTACATGCTACCTGATCAAGCATGAGGGCAAAAATTTTTTTAAGAGGTGATTTTATTTGTTGATCAACGCTACCCTCTTGTTGTAACGAATAATTTATGATCTTGCTGAATGACAGCAGACAAGAGGACGATTTTATAACAATTGAGGTAAGACTCAAGCTTTGGGAAAATCTCATATTTGATTCACTTCAGAAATTGTGGAAGGTGACGCACTTGCAGTGAGCCACTTCGGGGAAGGGGGGGGGGTGAGTGGAGAGAAGAGTTGCAAAGTCTTGACCATTTTTGGCAAACACTATGGAAAATTTGAATTAGCTGATTTTGTGGTCCCTATATTTTTAGCAGAAGTTAAAAGTGAGCTATAAATCTGAAGAAAGAATCCAAAAAAATTTTCTCAATAGGGTAATATGGCTATGCCCCGCCACTCACTTGTAAAAACTCTGTAGCCCCCCCCCCCCGTCCCCTTCGCAACAGAATATGTCCGCTAATGAATGATGAAACACCACTCGGTTAGATATCATCGTTTCGTTCCCTAGACAGGTTAAAAATGATGATCATAAGAATTTGCCCTTCGACTCCAACGATTAAACTACAACTGTTTTTCCCTACACTTCATCGATTATAATTGGTCTCAACAACTTCAAGTCTATTTAAGGAAGGTAATCATTAGAATCGAGAAAACAATAGTTAATTTCCGAGCAACCTGAGTAAGACCCCTGACCCACAAAACTCCTTATCACGAGTCCAGGTAACTTTTTACCAGAAAGAAATGAAAAGAAAATCCAAATCCATCCAAAAATGTCCTTTTGCCCTTTATTGCAGCGGAAAAAAATCAAATTTTGACCATTTTGATTTTGCCCTTTCTGGAGGACGAGAACGCCTATTTCGAATGGTCTCTGTTAACTCTACCTCGCTCTTTCGGCTCAACCAAAACTTTTCACATTATCACTCCCATATAAGCTGTATTTTTTAAGCTCAACAAGATTCTAGCATCAAGATTTAGTTTTAAGCATGTAAATCAGGCCAGCCATTCACTGAATTTGGAATGAAAATGAAAGGAGTGAATTACAATACCGCTCACAGAATGTGCAAAATTTCCGTAAATGTCGCAGAATTCCGAGAATTCCGCGAAGGTTCGCGACATTCCCGGAATTTCGCGACATTCCCGAAATTTCGCGAAATTCATGTAAATCACGCAGATTACGCAGGGCCATAACTTCGTTCGGAATGAGTATATTCAAAATCCGAAAACAGCATTGTATTCAGCTCGTCAAGGCGAATCTTTTGGTATACAGGTTGTCTCCAATATCCTCTTTTCAATAATCTTGAATCTGCATGCGGACGCCTTTTCGCGTGGGTGTAACGCAACAAGCATCACACATAGGAGATTGCGGCGGGCATCCTTCGATAGTACTCTTTCAGTAGATTATTCTGCGCTAAACAGCAGCCGAAGACTCTCTTTTAAAAGAGATAGAAGAGCTGATAAACTCTGGAAAAATCAAGCTGTTCCAAGTTCTACTAGCCGTAACTTCCTTTAGAATGAACATCTTCGAAATCCGAAAACAGAATTGTGTTCAGCTCGTTAAGGCGAATCTTTCGGTATACAGCATGTCCTTGAAATTCCATTTCCAATTTTTTCAAAATTTTCTGCGCGCGTATATTCGCAAGGTCGCAACGCAGCGCACATCAAACATAAAAGACTCCAATAAGCACTATTGGATTGTGCTGCTCCCGCAGATTACCGAGCGCTAAAAACGAACTGGAGAATCTTTTTCGAAAAAGATAGAAGAGCTGGTGAATTCTGGAAAAATCGTGTTGTGACAAATTTTGCCCACTGTAACCCTAAAATGGGAAGCTCTCCTGCTAAGCAGATGTGCCTTTCGTAATCAGCAGGTCAGATAACCTCTATGAGCAAGTTTTCAAAGAAATTCGGGTGATTTGATTTTTTCTCGTTCTACGCCCTGAAGCTCGCTGATGGGTTTTGGTCAAAATGTCGATGATCTTGGATTATAAGGAAACTTCGCTCAAAGAGGTTATCTGACCTGCTGATTTCGAAAAGCACATCTGCTTAGCAGGAGAGCTTCCCATTTTAGGGTTACAGTGGGCAAAATTTGACACAACACGATTTTTCCAGAATTCACCAGCTCTTCTATCTTTTTCGAAAAAGATTCTCCAGTTCGTTTTTAGCGCTCGGTAATCTGCGGGAGCAGCACAATCCAATAGTGCTTATTGGACTCTTTTATGTTTGATGTGCGCTGCGTTGCGACCTTGCGAATATACGCGCGCAGAAAATTTTGAAAAAATTGGAAATGGAATTTCAAGGACATGCTGTATACCGAAAGATTCGCCTTAACGAGCTGAACACAATACCGTTTTCGTATTTCGAAGATGTTCATTCTGAAGGAAGTTACGGCTAGTAGAACTTGAAACAGCTTGATTTTTCCAGAGTTTATCAGCTCTTCTATCTCTTTTAAAAGAGAGTCTTCGGCTGCTGTTTAGCGCAGAATAATCTACTGAAAGAGTACTATCGAAGGGTGCCCGCCGCAATCTCCTATGTGTGATGCTTGTTGCGTTACACCCACGCGAAAAGGCGTCCGCATGCAGATTCAAGATTATTGAAAAGAGGATATTGGAGACAACCTGTATACCAAAAGATTCGCCTTGACGAGCTGAATACAATGCTGTTTTCGGATTTTATTCCGAACGAAGTTATGGCCCTGCGTAATCTGCGTGATTTACATGAATTTCTCGAAATTTCGGGAATGTCGCGAAATTCCGGGAATGTCGCGAACCTTCGCGGAATTCTCGGAATTCTGCGACATTTACGGAAATTTTGCACATTCTGTGAGCGGTATTGTATGTTATATTAAGAATAATCTTATCTCAAATTTTCTTCTGCAAGTGCCCAAAGAATGGTCTGCAAAATGATTTGAAAAAAGATTCGAGAAGATGTAGCATGTAGCCCTACGCAGCTGGAGTATGTTTTATAAAAGAAAAGGAAAACTGATGAGAACTCTGCTTGGAGATGTTATAAAAGTCTTCAAGTAAAGTGTCTTGAGACAATCTGCTCCTCATTTTGCACCAACCTGATCAGTAACTATTCTAAATGACCTAATCCTTAATAGCAAACATCTCATCTCTTTTCGCGCCACGAATCAGTCATTTTTCTCACTTGTTGACGTGTTTTCGCAGAATTACGGAAAGTGATGCATACAATGACAGCTGAGGCTGCAAAAAAAACGTACGGATACTACAAGGCGTAGATCAAAAACCAACTACATAAAGAAAATCTTGAGACAATGAGGCGGTGGCGCAAGGGCCCATGTAACATCACCGCCGGGGAGAGGAGCTCGTGGCTTAGCAGAAAGCTTCATATCCTAAAGCTCTGAACTTCTGGATTTCACGCTGTCTACCTCTCCGTGAATGTCCCCATTATTCTTCACTATATATTGAATAGGAGCGAGAAGCAGCTTTTGATATCCCCTGATGATCCCCGAGACCGTCTTTTCTTCAAAGTTATTTCTCTTTCTTCGAAGCCAACAAAAAGCTTCCAAAGTTGTACTGTTCGTTTGATCCTACAGTGCTAAGCAAGTTGCTGATAAGAACAAAGGACGTAGTGGAGTCATTCAAGTGATGAACCATAAGTCGAAGTTTGGGTTTATGGAAAATTCGATTTCTAAAAAACTTATTTGTTCTTATCAGCAAAATGCTTAGCACTGTTGGATTAAATGATCAGTATAACTTTGGAAGGTTTTCGTTGACTTCGAAAATAATGACTTCGAAGAAAAGACGGTCTGCCGCCGACGATCATCAGTGGATCATACAAAGGCTGGAAATGCGGTTTGTACAGCTTCTCGCTCCTGTTCAATATGTTCAAAGTGAAGGATGGTGGGAACGCTAGTAGGTAAACAGCGTGAAATTCAAATCTCTGTAACTTCAAGATATGAAGTTTTCTTCTGCCATCACTTCCTGAGCGGGGATGTTCATGCGGCTTAATGATCAAACACTTAACGCGTTTTTGTGATACCTTGTACTTATTTGCAGAAAGGAGCAGTAATGAAGGCATGACTGATAACTGCACATAATTGAAGGCCTGAGCGGAACTTTTATTGAAGGCGTAGTTCTGACTTGATAGGAGAGAGTTACGGGATGCAGTGTAAAGGACCGTAAAAATCAGTTGATATACAGGGTGTCCCAAAAAGATGTGCACACTGTTTGATCGTTAACAACTCTCTTGCTTTCATGTCTTTTGCCGAGCTTGAGGTGCCATTCTTTAAAGCGAGATTCAACTTAGATTTGCAGTATGGAGCGAATTATCAGTCGCTCTTCATTACTGTAGGACTACTGTAGGAAATTCGAGGAGGATTTTAGCCATTAAGAACGGTATTTTGCCTTATAAAGGAAGCCAAACAAGCCAGAAACCCTTGAAATGGGTTAATCGAAGTCGTTGATTCTATGTACGAAAATTGCGATTCACTACATTGCTTTTTTCACGAGATTTTAGATTTAGGGTAACAACCGTTTTTCCAATGTTACTCAGAAATGTGATTACACCGTCAAGAAAGCTCGAAAAACTGGTGGAAAGTTGTGTAGTGAGATCAGCACGCCTGAAAACCTTGCTACACAAATTTTCAGTTTTTTTTTGAAATTATTCTATCACAAGGCGTATTCCAAAGACGCTGTACGCTAAAAGTTCATGCCGTAACCTACAATAGTGAAGAAGGATTGGTGGTTCGCTTCATACTGTAAATCTAAGATGAACCTCCCACTATAGAATGGTACCTCAAGATCGGCAAAAGACATGAAAGCAAGAGAGTTATTAATAATCAAACAGTGTGCACCTCTTTTTGGGACACTCTGTATATTACAAAATGCGGCTATTCAAAAGTTTGCGTGCATACATTTCGGGTGACTGAACCCTGCGAGACACTTACTATCATCCTACTATAATAACGCGCTAAGGCCGTCTGTTTTTTTTTGTCTGTGTGTGTGTGTGTCTGTGTGAAAATCTGTCTGTTACGAAATTCATAGAGCTTTTTTTAGGCAAGGTCTTGAGCTGAAATTTTGGTCATGGCACCCTACCAGCATGTAGGTAAAAAGTGCAAAAGCATAAGCTGATCCGATATTTGGGACCTTCAAAAACTGCGCGTCAAACGGGCCCACGCGGCTTTTGGCACGTAAAACTAGGTCATTAATTCGACTTTTTGCGAAGTGATTTGCGTGACAAGTACATCTGCGCCTATGAGTTCTAGCCCAAGAAGTGCTCAAAAAGTTTTTTTCTGCGACAACATCGCCAAGAAGTGGTGATCGCTTAGACAGTCGATTTAGCAAGGTTTTACCTTCAGACTTGGAAAGATTTTTGCACTGAAATTTAGCTCAAAGTGACTATTATCCTTATGACGATTACCAAGCCAAAACAAATTCAGTAATCTAATCAAATTCACAAATGTTCGTTTGCGACAAGTTTTTTAATCTCAAAATTACCCATCTTACGTGGAGATGCTTCAAGAATGAACAGTTGTTATATTCATTTGTGATGTTCAGCATCGCATGGTGGGTTTCAAAGTCATCATTATGCGAACAAGAGAAAGGCAAACGGATCGGAGAGCCAGTGCGAACCACCGCGAAGCGAGGTGACGCAGTGGTGACTTATAATAAGCCGCTATTTGTCGGTCTGTAAGTCTGCCTGTTAAGAAATTACAGTGAGGAATGATTTGCATTGCTTAAATGCAGTGCGAGTTGCAAAGCAAGTAAGGTTCATTTTTGTAAATACTTTGCGGTCTCCTCCATCAAATGAAGGCCAAGATCATTACGTAAGTTTACCTATACTTTTCATGATGGCCAGTGCGAAACTCTGCGAAGCAGAGGTTCGCAGTGGTACGTATTATTGCACTAATTCACTGGTTTTTACCCTACTAATCTCAGCAAGATTTTTCTTGGCAAAGAGTTCAACACTGACTCTCAATTGATGTATAGTTTTGCAGCAGTTTTACAGTATAGCTACAGTAACCACTCCGTCACACTCTTACAAGATAATGATATTCGCAATAGCCAAAGGACTTTACCAAAGACTTGTAAGGCGCTGAACTGGAAATCTGAGTTGTGGCAGTTGGAAAATTCGTATCCATTATCGTCTTCCTGATGGCATGACCACAGGTTATCCGGTGCATGATACCAGCCAAGAATATAGCGTGCATCTCCCAGAACTGTTCCCATAAGTACTATCAACAAGGCTGCCTTTCGATCGTTTTAACATGTCAAGTTTACAAGCACCTTGAATTTGCTAGAGTTAACGACTGAAAGGCAGCCACATTGATGGTAACTATGAAAACAATTCCAGAAGATGCAATGCAGTCATTTTGCAAGCAACAACGTCGTTAATTTTAACAAAAGCCTGAGTAGGCATGGTTGAACTTGAAAACACCATTTTGAACTCCCTTCTATTAATAAAAACACCCACAAAGACAGTACGACTATCGTGACTTTGAAAAATGCTGTGAATCGCAGAGTGAAAAAAAGTTTGGCAGCAAGTGTCCTAACCAAACTTTCTTAATATACAGGTTTATTGCTGTGATGAGATATGCAAGGGACCATTCTTCAGAGTCATTGATACTCCACAGCTGATGTGAATACGTGGACTTTGATGGATAAGACGGAAGATGATGATAGTGTATGATAACAAAAAAAGCTGCAGTGATTTGCCCGACAGTGAACATAAGCTTATGCATACATGGGTAGAGTTTTCAAATTCCCACATAGCAATACGGGTTTGAGAAAAACCTGCGAAAATTTACTATCTCAAAACAGTGATTGTGTTTTCAAAATCAAAGAGACAGAAACTAACAAAAGTCAGTGAAAAGTATCTTTCTGTTTGATTCATATTTGATTGATGTCTCATCAATCAAATATGAACAACTCTAGACACGGGCGATTGCAAACAACAACAAAAACTGCCAATGGAAAGAACCCTTCCACACAAACATCTGAAGTGTCTCTGTCATATGCGACAAATGACTCTAGGAAATTGGCGAAGATTTTACTGATAAGCGTAACGATAACTCTTCAATTTGGATGAACCAGTTTGATTGTAATTTCTATGAAAAGACTTCTACTCAACAAGAAAGCGGTATACAAATGTCAAAAGCAAAAACGCTCTATTGAGGTCGAGAAATACGAAACTGACCGTGCGAAGATTGAATTCCCATCCTTCAAAGCTAAAGGGTTGCTTTTTCTTGTCTTTACTCTCCTCCACTAGGTAATTTCTAAAAAAAATGAGGATCAGAGGTACGATAAAAAGAATATCAAACACCACTCTTACTTTATATCTTCGAGACATCGCTGATTTCTACCAAGTAATGAGTCATAATAATCTATACATTTTCTACCGAGATCAACAACCTGAAAAACACATATTACATGATAAACAAGAATGCCTGACTTCTTACCGCCATGCACCAATGTACACTGAGATGCACAGGTACTAATAATACATCATATGAAAAGATGTCCACTTTTCTAGTCCATCTCTTTACCGAAGAGTATCCCTTCGTAGATATATTTGCATAGAAAAATGTATTGAAAGCATACGTCTGCAAGAGAAACACACTATCAGAAAGAGAAATTCGAATAAAAATGTTTGAGCCTTACATCCGGCAAATTCTTGGACTCGGTGCTTCTTTGGCATACCAGTTGTAAGTAAAAGTTGATTACTTCATCGTTTAGCCAGTCCAATCCGGAAAGGGTAGACAGGTCTTTTCGTGTCAACTAAAATTGAATACCTCTCTGCTCAGCTAAGAAAGCTGTAAACATTCAAAACGGCTAAATCATCAGAAAAGGAAAAAATTTGTGTTAAAAAGCTCACTTTGATTCCAAAAGCCTCGCTAAACTCTTCAGACTGCGGTAAGCGCCGGTTCCAAACTCGTTGGCACAATTCATGAGCTTCTTCCGGTAATGCTAAACAAAATGATTGTGACAACAACCCTAAGACATAATAACATACAGTGTGCTATATAGGCATGATTATGTCTCCAAAACTTTATAAGGTAAATAAAACTTACGAGGGAACTCGTCCTTAACCTTCGGTTTCCTGGCGGGAACTCTAATGCCAACGATTTCGAGATTTTTCCGGATTTCCTCTTCCGCAATTTCTCTTCTGTACAATCCAGCAAGACTTCGTATCCTTATCTCCTCTCTCAATGCGAATTCTCTCTCTGATTTCTCTCGAAGCTCATCTTTGAACCTTGAATAAGGGGCACTAACTGGGGTCCAATTCTATGTTTCCTACCTCTGATATATGCTACGCGGAGTCGGGTGCTGACTAATGGTATTCATCCTACCCAACAGCTCGGTAAGCTTTTCGACACCCGAAGATCGGGAGCTCATAGGTGTTTCTGATCGTGAACTGAAACTAAATCGAGATTCAGGAAGAATTATTCAAAAATGTGATAACTATCTGATCCTGACTATACCTTTGATACTCGGATTCAGTTTCGACCCGAACATCGTCAGTCCTACTGGATCCAGCCAATGAATGCTCACTATCCCCATTTTCACTATAACTATGCACTGGGAAACGAGAAATATCCACCGGGGAGCAAATTACCTAGGTTGCTCAGACGATGACTGCCGTTCAAAAGATTTGTTTGCTTCAGTGGCTCCACTTTCGCCTTCTCTTTCGTGCAACTTTTTCTTTTCATATTTCTTTCGCTCGATATTTTCCAAAACTCTCCTAATTCTCACTTTTGCATCGAGGGTGTCCTCAACTCGCCGACTTTTGCGAAAGGGTCTGAATGAATATTTTTTGAAACTACAATTGCAATAACCTGTGCTACCCTATAATGCGATTTATTGTATGCACTAGAGTAAAAATATGAGACTGGAGAATGAATGGAAGTTACAGAGAAATATGCTGTGAATGTAAACGACATTGGTTATTTCATGGTCAGAAAAACAAACGTCCTAAAAGTAATGTAGCTCGCAGAAATGACGTAGTAACCACTAGAAAGAAAGTGAAGTTTGTCTCTCTACAGCATTACTTTGATATGGAACAAATCATCTAAAGCACTTACTTTCGTTTGTCCATCGTCAAACTTGACTGAGATCCGTTCTGGGAGGGATACTCCACTATGTTGCCCATCTTTCCGATCATGTCCACGAGATAATCGCGTGCAGCCAAATCCACATTCCCCTCAAAAGTAAGCGATAAGATGAAAGTCCGACCAGATCATTCAAATGACAGTAACTTACTCCTTGGGGAGTACCGCTGACCGAGATTCCGCTTCGTAGTCGAGCAAACGTCCTCTCAATAGATGCAGCATGCGAAGTAGCTTCCAAAGACTTGGCCTTAACAATTCCGGACCTGCGCCGTCGCCAGGGATCACTGCTAGGGGACGGGGTATCTCAAATTAACAAAGCTTCATTAAAAGCAGCGTCCAGGCAAGTCTGGACACATGAGAATCTCACGTGGGTAGTAATTTTGGGGCCCTAACTAAGCCACTGCCCAACCGGCAGCTCGGGTAGTGCTCTAACGGCTGAGATAATCCCCTCGAAACTGGACCCCGCGATCGTATTTCGCATGGATTCATGGCGCAAAGCGTGGATCCTGGCGCGAAACTGCCATGGATCCATGTGAATACGATCGCGGGGTCCAGTTTCAAGGGGAATATCTCAGCCGTTAGGGCCCTACCTGCGCTGCCGCTTGGGTAGTGCCTTAGTTAAGGCCCCAAAAGTACCACGTAAAAGCCCCATAGGTCCAGATCTGCCTGGATGCTGCCTTTGATAGAAAAAACAAAACACATTGGCTTAACTGCCAAACAATCTGAGCGAAACAGAACTGGAGCATGACTTTAAACATCTGCGATTTAACAATTACTGCAATTTCCCCTTGGGTACTACGATTCCAGCATGTCCCCTACGTAATGAAAGCTCAACTCCGACAAGATTTGATCAACAAAAGTCTAGAAGAAACTTCCTGTGGCGATATAAAGTACTGAACTGAAAGTGTTCTGTGCAAACGCATCTAACAAGCTCCCAAAGCAATGAAAATAGTTCATCTCGGTCGGTATAGCAATCACTGCGCAGAGGACAGAAGCAGAATATTTCATCGAAGAAAAAAACGGGTGGAGGACATTAGGTCGCCGAATTTGGAAGAGTCCCGCGCGGATTCCCTGCAGGAACGCATGTCCGCGCATGTACAAGGGTGCGCGTTTGTCGCAAATGACCGCGGGGACCGCCCTTTTTCGGCGACCTAATGTCCCCCACCCGAAAAAAACATTCGAAAATGATACTGGTCATTATCAAGAGCTCACCAAATCTATGCCGTCGCGGGGTTCCTTGACGACTGACACTGTCTTCAGGCGTTGGCGAAATACCTTGATCAGGAGTATGTGCTGAAAAGTATCATTACTAATAAAAACGAAAATGTCTTTGGTAACTTACCTGATAGAATCGATATAGTCGAATCAGATCCAGCCGGACTTGTGGCTACTGACAATGCGAGTGAAGTTACCTACAAGTATATGAATCTCGCCGAGAACACATATTTAAGCAAAAATTCGTACTCGATCTCTGGCAGTCTCCACAGACTTTCTATTCTCTAATAAAGTTCCTTTCGGAGAATGGCAAACCTCAGCAACTATTGTGACGTCCTGAAAACAAAAACGCAAATTGGTAAAAAGAGGTTTACCCCAAAGTTACACTTCTATAGAAAAGGCTCACATCATTTTCATCCTGTCGTTCCACTTCCTTGACAAACTCCACGTCTGGCTGCTCATTCTCATCTTGCTGTTCAACAACGCTTGTTGATGGCCGTGTTTCGTCAACATCTACATATTTTGCATCATCGTCAGAATCCGATAGATCAATGGTGCCTCGTCTAGTGGTAACAGCAGCCGGCTGAAATTCAGCATTCACTTCATAGGGATGGTTAAAACAATCAACAACCTCTTCCGCCGAATGCCGTGGTTCCGCATTTTGTACTTCAGCTACAATCTCCACCTCCGGACGATCACTATCGGTTGATCCGCGAGTGAGATCAATCACTAGTGGAGTCTGAGGAAATGCTGAAAAATGAGAAAGGAAATATACGCATTACATCCATTATAGCTCAAAGAACTTCATAACTAGTTAAATACTCAATACTCAACACTCAATACTTACAATCATTTAGTACATCATACAATCATACGACGCTTATTTCTTATACAGTCTGTTCATCGCGAATTGTTGCGTGTTTGCTTTTACATGCATGAGTAAAAGGAAAGAAAAAGCAAATCGCATCACTAATTGGTTTTGATAGTTAAACCTTAATTCGTAGTGCTATGCTTGCGATTCAAACTGCTAATTGTGTGACTTTTCACTGGATTGATTCATGTATTCACGAATTATCAATGTATGAGAAACCATGTGACAGAGGAACTTACTAAATCGATTACTCGTCGCTCCATTTCCTACATTTCCTCCATTCAATCGAGAAGTTGACTCAAATGCAGAGTCTTCTAGGTCATCATCCTTGGCAGCGATCAACTTGTACATGGTCCTCATTGGCGTAAAAAATAAATCCCCTAAGAGCGCACACTTTTGTAATGAAGGCACGGTATGACAGCTGAGAAAGAGCTTACTCAGCGAGAATGATGTGTGAGTCGTTTTTCGCCTTTTCGGTGAATGGTGAACGCTATCTGAGCTCGAGGCGGGGCCGTAGAGTTCGCGTTTGCGTACTACAAAAAAAGTTTCCTTTTTTAAGAACAACAACTTCAGTTGCATCAACTTCTAGGAAAACTATACATCTTCGATCGTCTCCTTCAGTTACAATATCAAGATGTGGTCTGTCTGTTCGATATCGACTCTCAGATGGCGGTTTCTCTTCTCCCAGCGTCCAACGACGCATAAAACTCATTCTGCAATGCACGTTAAAGCTTAATACACTTTAATCAACACAATACATAACACTGCCAATCCACAAATTATAAACCTACTCCGACAGCTTGATGTATCTTACTTTGTACATGGGAAACAAAAAGTCTAATTCAAAAAGCTAAGTATTTAAACAAAAAATCTCTCGCCGTCATTCATTAAAGTATAAGAATTGAGAGAGAACAATTATAGGCTCAGCAAAATTACCTTTCGAAATTCCGTATACTCTGATCCTCCTCTGCGTACTTTTTCACTTACTGCGTTAATCTTAAAAAAGTACTTACATGACCGTATCAGACAGAACCCACTTAGAGATGAGGTCAACAACCTTTTCAAACAAAAACTGATTGGAAGGAATAACTTTGTTTACAAAAAATGATGAAAACCATTCAAAGCGAACAGCTTCACGTGATGAACATGTAACTTTACAGAAGAACACACACGCACATATAATCAACACTATTAGACCGCGGTAGAAATCGATAAACACGTGTGATGGAAAATCAAGAAAGAGAAAAAATAATACAGTTAAATTTGGTTGACATTCAGAGTTCATGTAACCATCACAACTGTAAACAATTCATAGGATGAATATCAACCAACAAGAAAAACAAACAAAATAAAACGACACTGGTTCACTACAAAATGCAAGTTATTTATCCGCCTTGTTTATAGAATAAATGCGTAAACTTTTGTCCATTGATGTTGAGTAGACTGTTCGAGCATGGTCTCCAAATCGAACAGCAGTAACTGCAGCTGTGTGGTTTTCAAATGTTGCGACAACCTAGGATAAAGATTGATAGAAAATTGTTGACTATGGAATTTCATCCTCAAAGCAGCGACTGCATACCTGCCATGATTTTACATGCAACACTTCAACGTCACTTGATCCTACGGCCAGGTACGTTCCAGAATGATCAAAGCATATATTATTGATAGAGTGCTTGCCGTCGTGGAGATTCAGGGTCTTGAGGTTCTTCAGTTTTCGCAAATCCCAAAGTTTGAGCTAAAATTATGATTTGGGTGTTGTTGTGTAAGAATATAACACAGTTTGCCAATTCATTCCCGATGGGAAACTGAGAGGCAAAGAGAAATCTCGAAATATTGATGTGTTATCCACAATTTATGCAAGGTGCGAAACAGAGGGAAAGTGGCATTCAATACCTCTCCATCTTCGGCACCAGTGGCCAAGTAATAACCATTCTCAGAGAACGCAATAGCTCGTACAGCTCCTTGATGACCAGGGAAGTTTGCAACATTGGTCTGCTCCTTCAGATCCCAGATTTTCACCTAAGAATATGAACATCTGATTTGCAATATAGAATGTGGAAAACTTCCGGACATACCACAGCATCAGCTGTGCCCGTTCCAAAGATAAGACCGTCAGGATGGAATTGTCCGCAACAGACGGCCACAGAGGAGTTTTCATCGGCGCGTACCTTGAGTAAAAAAAGGAAACTATGTTCGAATCATATTAAACAAAAGAACGAAAAGAAGAATGACACTGCAAGATTAGGCTCTAAACTCACTTTGCACAACGTCTTTCCCGTATTTACATCACTCAAAGCCCAGTGAGAGTCATCCGACACCGAAAGCACATAATCACCGGTAGCGTGAAGTGAGATATCTAAATATGCCTTTTTTAGTAAAAAGAGCCCTCAAAAGAATTTGCGCAGGAGGCGTACCGGTGACTGGAGCTTGATGTATATCGATGAGAGCTCTGCATGTCTCTTCTCCGGTTGTCCAGACACGTACCTGAACAAACAGTCGTTGGAAATAGCAGGGTATAAGCGAGTGCTGGCAGCAAATGTCATGGATATTTGCATGAAAATAAAAGCATAGATATAACACAAACCTGAGCATCAGAACTGGCAGAAATGGCGTTCTTGGAGTTAGGATGCAGTATGACAGCGTTAATCTTCTTTTGATGCCCTTTGAAAACATCTTGCACTTGCTCTTTTTCGGAGTTAAACAATACGACAGTCTTATCAGCACCTCCAGTTAGAATCATTTTACCCTGAACAGCCAAAATCACAAAGAAAAAGTCATTTTCTCAATAAAATTTCATACCTGCACATCCAAAGCAGTAATTCCAGGGGTACCAGTGCTGTGTATTCCAGTATGACAAGCAGATTCACGGAATGTAGCAAATTCATCCTGTTTCGTCAATTCTTCTGGGAGATTCTTGCCACGCTGCTTACGAGCAGCTGTCAAAGTCTTCGCCTTCTCATCAAGGCGAGCTAGTACCGCCTCGGAGATACCTGAATACAACTTTCGCAGATGAACTTTGTCCCGAATGTTTGACCGACCTTGTGCTTCGTCGACGCTTTGTTCCATGTCGATGTCTCCTGCAGCGTGGGCGATATTGGCAGCGTGTGGTTTCAATGTAGACAAGGCTTCACGCGCAGCCGTCAACTCTTTGGTAAGACGAGCGATGACTCTACATGCAGCGTCATGCTAAAAACATTTTATCGTTGAAGGAAAATATCGCACTGGGTGGTACAGAACAATCACATTATCTTCACAGTAACCAATTATCGTTATTTCGTTTTGACCCTAAAGTCTACACACTGTGAAGTTGATGAAACTAAACCTAAAAGGGCTATTTTGCAGGTGTACACAAACATTATAATGTCGCACTCTAGGCAATCTTTGGGGCTACGATGGTCATATGGCAGGAGAGTCAAAATTAAATTTTCTCAAACCTTTGCTAAACAGTTTCCAGCACTTTGACTGCTGTTATACTATATCGGCTGTGCACGGAAGAGATCTTTCAGCTAACTTCGACAATTTATGGTATTTCATTCGCTTAATCGGGCAGCTAAAATTCTTTGACAAACGATGCCGCATACAGCTTGCTGGAGAACTTCTATAAACGAAATTCTGAGCAAATTCGGCCTTGTGGCACGCTCCTCCCGCACATAGTGTAACCCAGAAAATGAGATATTATGCAAACTCAATAAGATTTTCGTGTCTGCATGCCAAATAAGCTCCCAGGTAAAATATAAGCAAAATCCGCGATTTCGAATTCTGAGTGCAATCACCTAATGTAAGCCCACAGTCCACCAACTACTGTTTTAACAAAGCGGATACAGTTCAAGTAATCTCATCGCCTGCTATCTTCAAAAAAAAAGGAAGAGATAGAATCATCGAAAAGTAAGGCTGAGCCAGTACAAAAAAGAGTACAACTAATTGTGTATGTTTGAAGCCAAGCTCACCTGATAAAGCGAATGCGAGAGTTCTTGTCTAGCTGTTTGCAGTTGCTGACGAAGAGAGAAGCTATTCAACATCACACTGTCCCATTCATCTTGCAGCATCTTCAACAGCGATGGAATGGATGTACCAGCAACATTACGCGGGATTGTGTCCATAGAGCCAGTTTTTAAAGGAATTAGCTAAACACACATTATTCCAGAAGTTCGCCATCAAATTTAAGAAACAATGAAACCACCAACCTGATTTTCTTCTAATGATTCATTTGTTACCGGATCAACTCCATTCTCCATAATATACTTCAAAATAAGCCTTTTCTCAAAAATGTGGCCCGATGGTGATACCACCGGCTCTTCTGCAGGCTCTCCACTGATCGTACATGTGAACACCATTTCGAACCAAGTCCTTAAATGCGTAATTTGACAAAGTTCGACCATAATTTTTACTAGTATGCGAAAGAACATTAAGTAAATAACAACAACAGTTATTTCTCCGCGAAATTCGAAAAACAGGGATGTTTGAAAAGGCAAACGTAAAATATTTGGAACAGTTCCAAATGTGCGCGCCAACGCAAAAGTGGCGCAGTTTTAACGCTAATCCGCGACCGGCTTCGACATCGCGCGCGGCATGGAAGTCCCGCCCATTTCTGAAAGGTTTCAAGAATGAAGCTAAACTTGCTTCATAGTGTTTTACAATGCATATATCCAGTAGAAAACGCATAATTATAGTGAAATGCGAAGCAGAGGTTTTGCCGTAGTTTATCAGATGTGGAAGGTGGATTACTGTTCTGGAGGAAAAGTAGGGCCCCGCTAGGCTACTTCAGGTCGAAGCAAGTTCTCCCTCAGGATAACTGTAGAAGGTTTTGCACGACACGGAAATAAGTGCTAAAGTACCGTCCATTCCGCAATTGGAAAATACCAGCGACCGTTCCCCATACGCGTAACAAACTAATTAATACTTGTGGTCGACCTCATCTTGATTGATTCTTTGCTTGGAATCGATGGGACGAACAGGTTCAAGCTAGTCAGACAACCTGCGCTTAACGTTCTATTTCCTAGTCTTGGAAGAAAAAGTACCGTCCACTCCACAATTACTATTACTCCTGTTCTGCATTCTTGACCTGCGGCAAGCATGGCCAACATGTTGACAACATGCAACAACGTGCCTACAACATGCAGCAACATGTCGGCGTCGAAGCTCCGAGCCAAATCGTTTCCGTGTTCTTGTGTGTCAAACACAGTGCTGCATGTTGCCAACATGTTAGCCATATGAGGTTAGCTAGCAACGCGGAGCAAGGGTACCTTTAATCGATTTCACGAAATCGGCCGCATCGCTGTAGGCTTAAACGCCCGCGAGCGTTTCTCGCGCGCAGCTGCCACAGCGCCCTGCGTGCAGCGTTTGCGTTTAGCTCTGGCGCTTGATGACTCGTGCAGCATGTAGTCGCGGCAACGCGCTCGCGGGCGGTTGAGAATCTACAGCGATGTGGGAAATTCATGCAGTCGACTTTAACTGCATTTGCATCGTGCATACCCAGAATTGTTCCCATATGGACCATCGACATGGTTGCCTTTCGATCGTTTTAACACGTTAACTCCAGCAAATTTAAGGCGAATATTCGAAGTTGACATGTTAAAATGATCGAAAGACAGCCACTTTGATGGTTCATGTGGGAACAATTTTGGGGGATGCACCATATAGGCGCATCCCTCAGAATGGTTCACATATGAACCATTAGGGATCGTTCAGACCGCGCACAAAGGCGGACGAAGGCGCACAAAGGCGCACGGAGGCGGGTCTCGTCTCGTCTCGTTTATCTCGACACACACACTCACACGCGCCTTCGTGCGCCTTTGTGCGCGGTCTGAACGATCCCTTACCCATTACTCTGAGATCGAAGGCTGCCTTCATATCCAGCATAGCGCGCGAATTGAGCGTTGTGCTGGAATTGTTCCCGAACACTAGAACAGTGAACGCAGCCGAACCCAGGTTTTTGAGATTAGGAACTTTCAAGATGGTTCGGCGAATGTTTCAGGACGAGTTTGCGGGCGCGCCGCGCGCGTTGACCTCGGATCGCTATCGCGCTGCGGTTGGCGTTTGTGAAAATTTGGCACGCTTTTTAAATTTTCCTCTTCGCTTTTTATCTTTTCTGTTGATGCGTTTTCCTTGTTGATTCCCAGAATTTGAAGTAGAAGATGTGGATCTATGAATCTGCGTGGAAGATACCATATTTCTTTAGGAATAAAATCGTGTCACGCGAAGAGGTTTTTTGGGAAGTCAGCGTGCGCAAGCGCATTTATATTTCAACGTGTACATTATAATTCTGTAATCGTGACAGACAATTCTGCAAGTAGGAAAGCAGTGAAAATTCATTAGAAGTCAATTTTCGCTGCTTATTTCTATTCAAAGCTGAATCCATTCATGAAATCAAAGGAATTCCCATCAAAAATTGTGAATACTTCTCCGCTTCTTTTACTATGTTTTTGGTCGGTGATAGATTAAGATCTTTTATTCAATTTTTTCCAGTATAGCTCTCCTGGGGAAAATAGCGTGTGATGTACGATTCTGAAGAGGACGGCGATAGACGAAATCGCGACAAATTCTCACGTGAAAGGGACAGTCGACGTGATGACGATAGGTTAGTTTATACTTTTAGGCTTATCATTTTTTACAAACTCGAAGTTTGGAACAAGTCAACTTTTGATTGAATTGATCACAAGAAGAAGGTGGAGCTTTCGGCTGGGTTCATAGTGATCCGTAAGTTCCGGAACGGTTCCAACACAGCGCACATTTCGAGCGCTGTGCTGAAACTGCTCCCGAAGAGATTTGGGGTTTTTCATCTGGGAAATAGTCTATCTGCAAAAGAAGCAAAATGAGAATGTCTGTGAGATACTATCCAGTTTTCTCCGAAATTTTGACGTAGCAAATCCTTGATTTCATAGTGCTGATAAGTTGTTTGTTCGCAAGCAAAATTGATAGCAATCCTCAATGTAAAAAGTACAGTTCATGGATTTTCCTGTTTGCATTATCCATACACAATTACAGGTACGCAGCGAAGAGGTCAAGCTCATCTAGACGAGACGATGTGAAGAGGACGCGACACGAGTCTGTTTTATTTATTTTTTACTTTTTAAAGGAGCGATCTTTTTTTTTCATCAAGTTTCAACATTTTTCTATGCGATCTTTCATCAATGCTTATAACCCTTATCATCACTATTGTTCGACTAATGTTTTCACCAAATTTTGTGTTCTTCAACTATTCTAGCAGTGAATCTGACAATGGGGATGCCAAAGACGATTATTCAGGGCCAATGCTTAGTTTCAAAAAGTTCTTGATGACGCAGGTCAGTCTGGAACTGCCTTCTTTTGTGGAAGTACACCATAAAAGTCTTTTTAGGATGATGACATATCAGATTCTGCAGCTTTGGCTGCATACAATGAATACAAACAAGAATATAAGCGAAGAGAATTGCAACGTTTCTTTGACGCACACAAAACTGAAGAATGGTGAGGTTATTTTGATTTCGTAAATGACTGCAAATTTGAAAACCTTTTTTGAGGTTCCGTCATAAATATCACCCAGACGAATCAGCGGCCATTCGTGATGCACACATGGCTGAGATCAAAAAGCGTCTAGACATCTTCAATGAGCTCAAGTCAAAAGGCTGTTTTGATGATGTTACGCTGGATCTGACACACGCTCGAGAGATTATCCGATTGATGGACACTTGTGAGTTTCGTCATTTGAATCTATCGTTAATTTTAAGCAGATCTTTCATTAATGGCTTTGATCCTTTAGTGGTTGTGAAACTCGAAGGTGGTTCTGAGGAAGATGTTGAAGCTCTGAAAAATGAAAAAATCGAAGACGATTCTCTGTTCGATCTTGGTGAAAAGAAATCGGACGAAGATAATGGAGTTGATAAAGACGAGGCGAAAGGATCGGAGAATGAAGGTAGCAATAAGACTAGGGAATGTTGCAGCGTTATTAATCACTTTTAGCGAATGAAGATGGGCAGCCAAAACGTAAGAAGACCTTGCTGCACAAGACAAGTTCGGTATTTATGAGAAATGTGCCAGCCACGATCAAAATCGCTGACCTTGAAGCAGTGAGTTGAAAATAATCTTATCGAAGTGGAATCAAATCGGTTTCATTCGTTATAGATTTGCAGCCGCAGTCCAGGATTTTTGCGTGTGGCTCTCAGTGAACCGCATGCCGATCGCAATTTTTCACGACGTGCTTGGGCCACCTATAAGAGAGATGTAAACATCAAGGAAATTTGCTGGACTTTCAATCAGACAAAGGTCTTGCTCACTGGCTTCGTAACTTTCTAGAAAAAATTTACATTTCTAGCTCAACGACTCCACCGATCTTAGCGTAATCCTGAATCGCGATCTTACTCGACGCATTCGCGGTATCAGCGGTGTGTCATGTCATCAACAAGTAGCCCAGAATGATATCAAAATGGCAGCTAAGGTAAAGAGTAGGAGCTCTAGACCTCCCACTATTTACATGCTGTAAAAATAAGACTATGTGCGTCTATTTCAGCTCGTCGCTCTTATGGACAAGAAAGTTGGACTTTTCTGCGAAGATGAGCCCAAGGAGGAACGTGATAAAGATATATTCACAGGGGTTGACCTCGTAACAACATCGAAAAATCCACTACTCAAACAGGTTGGGGTTGAGAACAAAAGAAATAGAAATGGAAGAGATGGAAAAAAGAAGGAATGCTTGTGGATGAGAAAGCTAAACGAAGACAGGGACTTTGATGAAAACATAGAGGGAAAATGTACAACATGGTCACACATTATATTTAGGTTCGACCAGTGCTTAGAGAATGCGACGAGCCAAGTGCTGAGGAGGAAGAAATGCTTGGTAGGTTACCGAATGGACGCTTGTTTCTTTTTTCTTTCAATTAAAACAACTGAAGTAGTGTCGCATTTTGCCCTCTAAATTATGGTACACATTAGCAATGGGATCAGATTATCATTTATACATGATTATCATACCACTGGATACAGTCATGAAGCCCTAATACTTTTCCTGCTAGTGTATAACAGTTTTTTTTTCGCAGTCATGTGCATGTGTGTCATAGTTCAGTGATCGCTGGCTGACAGTTTTAATGGGACAAAACTCTTGCGGAGCACAATTTATCTTCTTTTCGATTGCCTATTAATTTTTAGGTCCTTTTTATCGTAAAATGCCAGATTTTTTTTAGCTCTTAATTTGCTGGGAAATGGAAGCATAGCGTAGTCGAGATATCTGTATAGAATCTGAGAAACAGTGTATCCTCGGAACACTATTTTGTTGCAGCGTTGAACTGATGCAATTTAGAGTTAGGACGATGTTTTTTGACTCAGTCTCCTCATCGAATACCTCAACATATGCTCATATGGCTGAGCCTGCTCATAACTTTTGCGTACTCTTGCAGTCGACCTAAGATCTGATCTAGATTGAGAGTAATTTCAGAGTGACTAATCAAGAGTATTTTGACAATGCAATCACAGATTTATGTGTTTTCTCTTGGATTCTTTGGATTTGGATTTGAAAGTGCTTAGGCTTTGTAAAGTACAGATTACAGTGAAAAAACGGACGGTGTGTGAATTTTGCACATCTTCCATAGATTGATCGGTCATAAAATCTGTAATCGTAAAAAAAATCTTTGTCCCTACTTGACCACTTTCCTTTTTGATTGAGCAACATAATTTTTGGATATGTTAGGTATCTCTCGAGGTGCTGCAGCAGCGCCGGCTCCTCCTGCAGACGAAAAAGTTCCGTTTGTACGTGATGAACATCTGCTCCATGCCTTGGATTTGTTGATTTTATATCTACGTATGGTGCACTCGATCGATTTCTATGGTCATATCGAGTATCCCAATGAAGATGCTATGCCCAACAGGTATTTAGTTATTTTTGATGGAAAAGAAGCGAAACGCAAATCTCTTTTTAGGTGTGGTATGCTGCACGTTCGAGGTGTTCTTCCGACCCAGTTCGGAACAGCTGAAGATGGCACAAAACTCGTGTCAACGAAATTCAATACGGTAAACGGATCAGTTTTTCTTATCTCGGTGGTTACAACATTTGTCGGTAATTAATGCCACCGCCCACCCTTTGCCCAATCTATTCGGGTGTTCTATAACAGTTGAAGCGTCGCTTTTGCAGAATTCTCAAAAAAATTGTTACGAATCAGACATAATTTAAAATCATTTGCTTATAGGAGTTCATCAATGGCTTCAATCAACGTCTCGAGACAAGTTTGATGCAAGTATCTTATGTAACTCCCGATGAATTGGAGAAGATGGGCAAGAAAGATGGTGATAAGTACGTTGTAGTCGTGCTATCTCTTCTGCGTTTTTATCACCGCATTATTGAAGGGAAGTGGAAGCTTTCATACAAGCAAACACCGTCGAATTATCTCAAGATAAATGGCTTTGCCCATTGTCTGGAAAGAAGTTCAAAGGACCTGATTTTATCCGCAAACATCTTACTAGCAAACATGAGGACAAACTCAAAGAAGTACGCGAAGAGGTAGGCAACAAGGTTTTGCGGCGCTATTCCAGTATATCGACCCCAAAAATTAAAAATCTCGGATTTCGCTCAAACTCGATATAGGGGGGTTATTCGATCCGCTGATGCCAAATATCATGTCGATTCCGTGCGATAGCGCCATTTTCCGGGGGTTACGGTGGGTATACGGTAGGGGGTCAAAATCACAAAATTCTCTGAAACTCGGTAAGAGGGGGTTATCCGACATGCTGAACACGAATACGATATTCATTCGTTACGGTAGCTCCTCATTCCGGGGTTATGGTGGGTATACGGTAAGGGCAAAATTAGATATCCGCTGAAACTTCGTGTAGGGGGGTTATTTGACATGCTGATCACGATTATGATGTTTATTAGTTACGATAGTGCCTTCGACGTTACGTTGGGTATACATTACCAATACCACCGCTAGATCGAGATTCAGGGCTTGAAATTTCAGTCACACGTCGGAAATTTCCTCCCCCTGCTTTGGTTAGGCAAAAGCCGCCGCAGGGTGTATCGAGCGCGGCGGTGGGTGTAGAAAGCAGTGAATTAGACCCTCCTACAGTATACCCACCGTAACCCCGGAATGAGGTCCTACCGTAACGAATGGATATCATATTCGTGTTCAGCATGTCAAATAACCCCCCTGCACCAAGTTTCAGAGAATTTTGTGATTTTGACCCCCTGCCGTATACCCACCGTACCCCCGGAAAATGGCGCTATCGCACGGAATCGATATGATATTCGGCATCAGCGGATCGAATAACCCCTCTATACCAAGTTTGAGCGAAATCCGAGATTTTTAATTTTTGGGGTCGGTATACTGGAATAGTACCGGTTTTGCCAATGTTCGTCTACTGATTTAGTATTTTAGGCCCTGTTTTACAATAATTATTTGGCGGATCCAGCCAGACCTCAAAACGTCGAGGTAAAAGCGGCACCACCACCGGTGAGAGATGATGATCGCAGAGATGACAGATATGCAAGTATGTCAACCTAATCTTTGACCAGAGAACTGTATCAACTCTATTTGATGGGTCATATTGTTAATAGTGTTTCTGTCATTAAATTGTGACTCTTAGAACCCGCGCCCCCGAATGTACGCAAACCGGAAGGGCAGTATGAACGAAAACCGCAAGTTGGAGCGGGTAGCTGGTCATTTTTCATGTTGCTTGTGTTTTGTTGAGATCAGCTTGTGCATGATTACTTTCACTTACTGCAACGTTGAAAAAAAATACTGCCCTTTCGATTACTTGCGCCTTTGAGATGTGCATTTTGGTAGATCATCAGTCATTCTGAAATAGCTTTGAGGACCAAGTTCTCTACCTCTAGAAAGTTGAGATTTGAAATTTTAATGCAGTTAACTTTTTGAGTAAATGCCGCGACTGCGGCTTTGTGATCAGTTCTCGCAAACAGTCAAGTTTTTGTTCCAAGCAACTTTCATCTTAAATCATACAAACGCATGTGCCACCTACCTTTGCTCACTAGCTTGAATCCTGCACTTCTGCCTATATGCGCAAGATCTTACGTGTTGTCAAACGGTAAATGCATGCTAAAATCAATGCACTAATCAATTTTCATTCACTGTTTTGTAATATTTCAGTCCGCCAAATGCAGTGTCCTTTGTGTAGGAGTTTTCTCTGACTCAAATCACTATTATATTATAGGAGACCGCGGCGACCGTGGTGATCGTTCCGATCGTGGCTACGCCAGCGCGGATCGAAGCCGTCGTGGTTACGCAGGTTTCGGTAGCGGGGGCCCACCTCGCGATCGTGGTCCACGTTTCACGCCCGAATCGGCCAGACCGCTCACCTCATATAGAGACCTCGATGCGTTCCCTATTGATTGATTTTCTATATTTGTTTTGAATAATCGCTGGTTGATGTCATCTCATTTTTATCTTGTTCTCTAGTGAGTGATGTTTATCTTTTGTGTTTGTTGGAAGATACCATAATGCGTAAGTTATTCCCAGAATTATCTATCGTATGTTGTAAGCGTACGCTGTAGAATGTTTCAACTGCTCGTTGATTTCAAAATTTGTCATTTGCATTTGTAGTGGTAACATAGTAAGTTAAGAAGAAAATTTAAGTTTTGTATTCATATAATTCATTAAAAAACTACTTTTCAAGTTCGAACATTAATCCCAAAATATTCGAAAATTTCTGTCTACGTCAATCTTTTTCCCCCATTTTAAGTGAATCATGGCATTCACTGCTGACCTACTCTCAGTGAGAAGTGTTGTTATGTTGACGTTTTTTCCTTTCTTTATGTGTCTGTAATGGTGATACATTTCTTTTTGCGTAATTGGATAATTGGATAAGTTTTGTGAGATTAGTTTCTAGAGAATAAAGAAATCCATCAGCTTTGCTTTCTGTATGTTGATATTCACCAACTGTGTGCCAGTGCAGGCAATTGACCGTGAAGCTGGAATTTGACGTTCCATTGTCTCATCGAGTCGTTACGGTTTAGCATCTGGTTTGTCAGCGAATGCTGTAACTACATTTCTTAAAGCTCAAGGTCTACAGGTGCCAATCGCAGTGCAAGCTCTCTGCATGTACACGCGATTTCATTGCCTCGCGATTCTCCCTTCAAAACATTGTTAGAAGTTCATTGCATTAGAAGCCAACCAAAATCTCGTTTTTCCCATTTTTCGCTTTTGATCGCTGTGCTTTCACCAAATATTACTCAGAGCTAAGAAGACGAATCAGGCTCAAAACATCCCTATGGAATCTACGAGGTTTAAACTATTGATTCATATAAATATTGTCCGCTAAAATGTTTTTTTGATATAGTTAATGGCCTGCGGCACCCCCCCCCCCCCCTCAAAACCTGCGGCTGCCGCAGGTTTGAGGGGGGGGGGGGGTGCCGCAGGTCATTAACTATATCAAAAAAGCATTTTTAGCGGACAGTATTTATATGGATCGATAGCCCAGATCACCTAGTTTTCACAGGAGTGATTTGAGCCTGATTCGTCTTCTTAGCTCTGAGTAATATTTGGTGAAAGCACAGCGATCAAAAGCGAAAAATAGGAAAAAGGAGATTTTGGTTGGCTTCTAATTCCACAGTTTGGAGGTCTTCTGAAGCGGGATTCCTGAGGTGGACAAAGAAGGAGTAGTGCTTTGTCTTGAGTGCGAAAACGGATAGCTAATTCACCTTTGAAACAAAGTTAACCATGTTGGAATTTGACCATTTCACTTAGGTAGCCTAGTATCTTGAATCTTCAGAATTCGCTCAAACTTTGTCTACAGGGGTTAATTGACATGCTCATTATGGATGTGTTGCCCATTATGTTTGACAGGGCCTACAAGTAATGCTATCTTAAGGGTATAGTCCGGGGGGGGGTCTTATTAAGACAGCAATCAGGGGGGGGGTCGTAACCAGCGATCGTGTGCCACACCCCTTGCTTGACCCTGGTTCTCACCCGCATCGCAAAGTAATTTTCGTCAGGGATCAACCTTAATATGCATCAGAATTGTTCTCTAGAGTAACTCTGCAGTCCACATTTGTAAACCATCAAATTGATTTATGACAAACGTTAAATGTTACGCGAAAGCAAAGTAGGGCCTACCCTACGACAATGTATGCATACGAGACAGCGCCAAAATTTATTACAATACCAGTGCTATCCTAATCGCGGATAGAAGGTCAACATGAAAGTAATGAAACGCATCAAAATGTATTATACAAAGATCCTAAAAATGAGGAAATGCTTTACAAAGTTTTCTTCTGACTGTCTTCGACCTCTCTTATACGTTCACGATGTCTCTCAAGAATCTGTAACGGAGGATATAGAGAAAAGAAAGTGATTCACCATTAACAATGAAAAGACCTACAGCTTTATGATTCTCGACTTGTTTTTCATGATGTTCGATTTCTTGTTGAAGATGTGCTTTCAGTTCCTCGAGTTGTTCTTTTTGCTAGAGAAAAAAAGCTCACTCTGCACTATCGATCAAATTTAGTCTGTGACTTCAATCATTACCTTCTTGTAGAAATACTCATCTTCTCTAGCAGCTTCCATCTTTCCAAATGCACCACCGGCATCACGAATTGAACCACCACTGCCGCCTCCCTACAAACCGGTTCTTGAAAACACCGTAAATCACATTTTGATCTAGTGAAAATTTTCTAGTAAGCAGAGGAAAGCTAATGTTTATACGTATTGGCGACCCACCTTTCCAGCACCATCGCCGAAACCACCAGACATTGCGCGTACGAATGTACTGAAAAACACATATCAATGTAAACAAAAGTACACAAATTCCAGAAAATTTCTACAGACAGATGTCGCAAACGCAACACTTTCCACAAAACTATTTTATATGATGTAAGGAACTTATTTACAATGAGTATGAGCGATAGCATAAATCTAAACCGAAACTGCAGCAATTATTAATGAATTCAAAGTGACTACTGCTCGAGCACTGAAAATGTTAGAAGGGAAAAGTGCACAGAGAAAATGCGTTGCTTTGCTCGACAAGATTGCAAATTTCTAAAAGCGGGTAAGAATTATAAAAGCAATGAGTGAGATAGAAGCAAAGACAAGAAAGAACAAAAAACAGCAAGACTGGCAGCAGTCCGATCTTACGATGAAAACTGAAAAACAATGACTATGCGTAGTCACACGCAAGTCACAAGGAAGTGGGAGGTTCTCCACTTACTCGTGTCGAATAACAAAACATTAAAATCAATAGTACACCATTTGCACAACAATGTTTTTTTTACCTCGTAAGACATAAGTAAAACTGAAAAACTTACTTCACACTTTGCCTTGCAGAGGGCACCAAACGCAAAGCCATCTGAAGCAAATTTCTTTGAGATTGAGGGAAAAATCAATAACGCGTGACAGTTGCGAAGCCGAAACACAAACGGCAGTTCGTATAAAATGGCAAATGCCAAATGAAGCTTCAGTGGGCTGTTCATAACAAGAAGTGCAACAGGTGGAGGGTACAGGACTGTGCTTTCATATAAAACTGGAACAAATATACGATTTTTACGTCAATAACTGACTACAGACCACATTATGAGCAGCCTGACTTTTTGTACTAAATGGATATAGAAAATGAAACCTACTAGCTTCTTAGCGAATTTTAGACTTTATCAGTCAGGCAAGATCAGAGGGTCTTGTCTTGAAAGGCTAAATCGCCACCGATTCGGATTCAGCAATCCTTATATGGGCTTCTGTACTATTGATAAGCTCCACCTCTTTCACTTGATAAGGAGTAGGAAATTTGCTCTCGAGAACCAATAGAAAAAAGTCTGATATAAGCTGAAAGTACGTTCTTGACTGTGAAGGAAGCTATAAGTGAAATATTAATACGATTATCTAGAAATTTCTCAAATGACTGAAGGCACGAGCATCCCTGAGTTATATATAGTTCCTCATGTTGCTGGGGGGGGGGGAATGCAAACGGCATTGAGGCACGTGATTGAGAAAATACGAAAACAGAGATGTTCCGAAAGAAACTGCGTCAGGCCGCAAGCAATTAAAAATGGAAAGGTCATTTGTCCCATAAAATCGTGAAAAGACTTCCGAAATCTTGTAAATCCACCAAAGTTGGCAAGATCAATACGGAAGTTCAAGAGCAAAAGAGGACAGTTACTCTTTGACCAAACTTGTTGACTTGACCATGAACTCTGCAAAGCGCAGAAGATTTTCATCAAATTCCAAAGAAAATAATGAGAAGAGTAGATGCACTTTTACGTAATTCTAGCAAAGTATATTAGTCGTACTTTGACGGGAAAACAAACATATGATGTGGACGTTTCCATACGTTCTTTGCCCTTTCTGAATCACATACCACAGAAATAGAATGAGTTACCATAAAAATTCCTCTACTAGTCACATGTGGTTTACAAGTCGATTCTTCACATCAATTCAAGAAGTGACAACATTGTCTTTGTTACAGATTAGCAGCTCAGAAATGCATAAGTATAACTCATTCCCTGACTAAGAGACACAAGCTCGCTTTGCGTACGTCTGATTAACAAGTTCGTAAATGTGCTCTGAGACCTCAGATATAGTTCACGCAAATTCATCGCATCTCGATTCCCCCAACAAGATAAATGTTACAGTTTCATTGCGTGTCGATCATTTTGCATCTCGATTGTGATTATCAGTCATTCCTATCAGTATCACACCGAAGTGCAGGAGACCTGCATGCCATGAACTCTAGCACTTGTTGGAAGAATCCCGAGACGATGAAATCGCGTGAACTATGACCAGGCCTTACGCGTTTTGGATATTACTATTGGGATTCGAGAAAGAACATGTTCAAGCTCGTTAAACAATGCGAGTTCGAACATATACATTACGAATTGCCAATGATGATTCTCCAAAATGTGTTACAACGCACTCAGAAACTTGATAATTAGAAGTATGCAAAGCGTGCTGATGTCTCTTAGTAAGAGAATGAATGATATATACAATAAGTGGATTATGAAAGCTATAGCATACTGGTGTTGGCTAACACATACAGATGTTGTGAGACTCGTTTACAATTTTGTGAGCAAAACTGTCATGAAAATCGGATGACAGACGTAAATAACAGCCGCATCCTTCACATCTCACGCATTTCATTCTGAACGCTATGAATTATCATTCTTGTCAGGGAGTGCCTGACTAAGAGCATTAAGAATCCTAGAATTGTTATTAATAGTTCACGATAGGTAAGAAGATTATAGAAAAAAGTTGATATTGACAAGCAGGAGCAGTACCAGCTAGAAACATCACAACAGCTTTTTATTGAGAGAGAGTCGGTGTAAGGAGATTTGACCAAAAAACAAATCTTCTTTAGAGACAGTCAGTGTAAGGGGATTACACTATCTCAATGCAGTTATTTCGATCTCTCTTACTGTCACCTATCTCCTTATCACAACGATGAAATTTGGAGCGGAAAAGGAAATTGTTTGCGATCTTGCAAAACGTGTTGAAGGCGTAGAAATACAACATATTTTAACGAACACAAAAAAAGCTCTTATAAAAAAAGATTCGACCTGGACCTACAAGAGTTTGCAATCGATGCGTAGCGTAGCCGATAAAGCCGAAGACAAGACGCTAGGTGATGACCGACCAAAGGTCGTCTGCAGCGATCGCTGTTTTCTCAGAAATTTCCAGCACAGCAAAAGAAATCTTGGTTAGAAGAAAACTTTGCAGTAGTGATAAGCATTTATTTCTAGAAAGGTCTTCAAGGAAAACCAAAAAAAAAGATGCACTTTTGCTAGAAACGAAAAAAATGGCCTTCATAGAGCTCTCCTGCTTGACAGCGACGGTCTCGTATTGAGTTTTGACGTAAGTTTTGTTACACTTTTTTTTCTGTTTTCCTGTACAAAAAAAACTCTAGAAACTTCGGCTAAGTCTCATATCTGACATATACGAGGAAAGGACAAAGAGTATCCAAACGCACTGTTTTGACTTTCACGAGCGTGAGTTACAATTTAAGGGCAGTTGTATAACGGTACTTCAGGCTCCATTTTTTGATCTCTAAAAAAATTCTCTAACTCTTCTTTCTCTCTATTTGAATTTCTTATGAATTTTCTGGTGCACCAGAAATAAAGCAGTTCTGCAATTCAAGCTCTTCAGTAAGGAAATTTTGAAATTGGCCAAAAATAGTTTGGAGGACTTTGAAAAACTCAATATTAGATTTTTCGTGTTGATATGTATACATCGGAAAGCTACACCTCTGCACTAAACAGAATTGTGAAAGGTTTGAAAAAATTGCTGTTATTTTCCTTCGGGTGCAACAAAACTTAGTTCGACCTGATACTGAAACATAACCATTTCCGATGACGGTCACCATTCGATCCGAAGAAACAGGTGAAGTTTATCACTGCCAAACGACCATATGCCAATTAGATTGAATGCGCCCGATGACATAAAACAACTTCATGAAAACAAAAAGGGCATTCTAAGCGTGTAGAACGACTCCAACTCCAACACCTATTGCTCATTTGATTTTAGAGCTTTCCAATCAAACAAAGGTATCATTGATTCTGTGACAAGCGGCTCGAAACCGCTTTATGCAGTGTCAAAACAAGTTTGATCGTGCGGTTAACAAGTTATACTTGTGATCTATCCAATTTAAGTTTGCTTAATACTTGGAACAGGAAAGAACAAGTTCAAGCTCATTTAGGCAAAGCATTTTGAAAGCGGCTTTGAGTCTCTCAGTCACAGAATGGATGATCCAGCCTCCTGGCAGCGAAAATTAGAGAAGCTCGTGCAAACGACACAGGCTCCTATATCTTATCAAATGTAGTGGTGAATAAAAATTTAGGAAACATGGAAGTACAATCACGAGTAACACTGAGTGAAAAAAATACATGCCTGCTTTACGACAATTCTGAAGGTGTCACACACATAAGGTTATCTATGAATTTACGGCTACTGCCAATATCCGATTCAGAAATAAACTCGAAGCTTATGACTCCTATATGTGCACGTAAAACACAAATTGCAATTTGCTAAATAGAGAAAAAATGCAGACTGCATGAGATTATTATATTCGAAAATGAGAGCAGATAATGGACAAAATCAATTCATTACGAAAAGTAACTTGCAAAGAAAATCGAAATAGGAAATCAACATTTTCGAAGGTATCTAAAACAATCTTTATGAAGGCTCTGAGATGTGAAAGAATTGCAAGAATGCAGGCCAAAAGATGCGCGGTCCAAACGTTCAATGACCATGAGACGAGATCACACTCTTTTTGTGATGCTTACCGTAATTCGGGTCCTGAAATCTCAATCCCCAATCCAGAATGGCAATGCAGATAGATACCTGTCTTTAATGATGCCCTTCCTCGAAGCTGATTCAAGCAAAGCTGGAGAAACGTAGGTACCTACTGATAAGTTTTATATTGAGAAGTACTTGGATACGAAAATCACAGGACTCATGGAAGTTAGAAGAATCACGACGGAAAGTAGATATATTAGTGCAAAGATTGGCCTATCGCGTGTATCCGCACCACGCAGCACGATTTTAAATCACTCTAGCTTTACAGTAGACTCAGGCGCGTTGAGACCCTCTGCAAATTCTCGTTTGCCCCCGTACACTTTTGGGACAGTACAATAGACATACAGTCGAGTAGATTTTCCGCTTAACACGTTGACGACCGTGTGCATCCGCGCGTATGCACGCCCTGACCACCTTTGAGCACTTTCGTGCATCAATTTATCATGTGTAAACGAAAAACTCTCAGTTAACTTCTATGCAGTGATAATACTGGTGGCCTGGTTGTCATATAGAACACACGGCATTGCGGTAGCTGTTAAACAGTCTAAACCGCAGCCTGTGCCGATAGATTCGGCACCTTTTCACCTTCGCCGTTTTTATACTTTTTATCACGTTCCTCGCTGTCCATTCGCTTTCCGTCGGTGGCAGTGTGCCGACAATGTCGGCACCCTCCTTGCCGTATCACTTTACTCATTGCTAAGTACCGTACAGGTCATGCCATAAGCATGCCTGCTGTGATATGAGTTATCTCTGTAGCCCAGATGCATGTATACTATTTTGTCACGCCCATCATATGCAGCATTCTACTACAGCACCCATGCAGGTCGTCTGACTCAATAAAGCTCTAAGCTTACGTCTAATATCACAGCGGAGCTACTTATTCCAAAGGCGCTATTCCGCCACACAGCCGTAGATCATCAGTCCATTTTGATGGTCAAAATGGCTCGGTCGTCAACGTGTCAATATAGTGTGCTTGCACAGAAGATAAAATGCGGTGAAGTTCGCGCGTGAATAAATGGCCACGCCAGCAGTGCCGGCATTTTGCGCGCGCAACTGGCCAGCGTCACA